TTATTATACTAGCTTGTAGGCCTACTCCAAAATGGAGATCGTAATTTCTCCACCTCCACTCATTACAATCACACGTGCCCCAATGTTATATTTAACTAATATTATATTCCTCCACTCCACAAAAAAATCACGTTTAGAAGCCCTTTTTCTCTAATTCCACAACGTTGGATGAAATAACATTAGGAGAACGGATTAATAGGCTGTTCATGGTTAACGTGTGTTGCTAACTTTATCCGGTATCCTAGCACAGTATTGGGAAACACTTCATACTTACTGGACATGTATACACTCATTGCATACTGTATGTAAAATACGACCAAGAATGTGAGACAACTTTATACAAATTCATATCACATCCATTACTGATGCCATTTGTCATACTTTGTTAAACTCACAAATAATAAAGTTCCATAACTTCAGTTGGAAACAAAGACCACACCTTATCTCCCCAAGGCAATTTCCCATCCAGTAGGTGTGCTATATAGGTGTGTATAACCCTTTCTCCTGTCTGTTTCTCCCTCTTTCAGCACAAGAACCAAAGGGGGATTCAATAGAGCCTGAATACCTGCACTGAGACCCTCACCCTGCACCCTGAGTCTCAACTCTCAGAGTTTTTCAAGCCTTTCCCTGTTATTTGTATTAAACCAAACATTAAGCTTCCCAATGGTGTGGTCTTCGTTTTGTGAAAAAGTGCAAATGCAGTGTTTGAATATGATTACCTCACATATTTTGTTGCAGCTGTCTGTTTTGATTGTTAAATTGCTCCTGCTGACTTGAGCTAGCCATTTTTTCCTCCTCTCTGTGTCAGTGGGGAAGCCGTACATTCTGATTCTTACTCCTTTCTCTGAGCGATTGGAGCATCCCCAGGCAGCACAGCAAACCATGGTGGAGACTATATGCCAGGACAACACGGAGGAAAAGGCACAGACAAACTGCATGACATGCTATTCAATGTTTATTGAATTCCATGTATTTACAATGGATGTTCCTAAAACAACACTTTTAACGTCATAATCATGTTGCTGCTAGTCCATTGATAGTCACCTGTTGGTCTCCTGTCCTTTCTGAAAGTCATAAAGAGTACATTAGTCATTTAGATTACTTATGTCCTCAAGTACCATGGGATTACTGAAACCACCATGAATTAAAACAATTGTAGAAATTAATCTAATCTAAATTTTGAAGCATTCCTTGCCATCCCCTCCCTCTAAATATATCAATAAACATTAGGAAGTGATGCTCCTGACTACCATACCTGTTTAAGAAGATAATATTTGTTTAAAATAATTTAAAAAGGCAACAGCCTAACATGTATATGTTAACAAGTAAACTAGCTGTTCACACTATTCCTAATATACATAAATATTAGCAGATTCTATTTTATTTTAAAAACATATTGATGTAAATACATACACATATCGGTATGTTGTATAAATATTGCAAATCAAAACCTTTATTCACTACTTATTACCAAAAATCATAGTTCTATCTCCGGTAATCGTGCATTCAAATGTCCCACCACAAACTTCCGGGGAACTATTGACTCTCCCTGAACCACGTGACGATCAAGCATTTTGGACTTCCGCTGTCGCAACACTTCTATCTATAGAGTGGCGAAGTCCCTCCCCTTCCGGTGGACCTCCATGGGACCTTATTTCGGAAAAATTATGTATTGAAGTCAATGGAGAGAGAAAGATTATCTTTCGATCCCGTTTGAATTGTGCCACGAATTACACATATGATGTTTGTCAATTTAAAAGATAATTTTGCAAGTCAAAAAAAAAAAGATTTGTCGTAAAACTGTGAAGTAACACATTTGTTTGTGTGAAACGCTCAATGAACTACATCTCTGGTCTCACAGAACAACACACGTCACCAAGATGGCCGTCATTACTGTCTTGTCAACAAAACGATTGACTACCCTCACTATCACCACAATGAAACACGTCCTGAAGAAAGTCATGCAAAGCTACCTGCCTGCCTTCCTTTGATTCTCTCTGAACTGCCTGGTCGTTTTAATGTTTAATGTCAACCATTTGTGCAGATAGCATGAAGTAGAGAAGATCGCTAGCGTTAGCGTTAGCATTTCTCCCCCGGGCTTAAATTGTGTATTATATAATGATCACACCGGTGTGACAGTACTCTTCAAAGGGTTCACGAAATATGACTACTACTCTTACTGTTTAACATGTTGGGTTACTTAATGTTACTTCATGTTAAGGCTAATACAAATGACAAGGCTGTAATGCTAACTAACGTGCTAGATACTAGCTAGCTTGATCCAGACACTCCCGGTCCTTTCATCAGACGGGAAGCGAAAGAACGAGCAAGACCCATTGCTGGTATGAACAACCTGGTACTAAGCACACAGGCATCTTGTTAAAGGTATCTTAGCCAGCGCCATATAGATAGATTCTATCTATATGGCGCTGATCTTAGCTATCTCTTAGTGGAGGAAAACAATTGTGACATCACTTACGCGACTCTGGGATTTGTAGTCTTTCTAGTTGCGTATTTTTCATAGTCTTATATTTCAACAGTTTTACGACAAACTGTGACTTTTTTGACATGGAAATTATTTTTTAAGATTGACAAACATCATATGTGTAATTCATGGCACAATTCAAACGGGATCGAAAGATACGTTTTCTCTCTCCATTGACTTCAATACATTATTTTTCCGAAATAAGGTCCCATGGGGCGGAAGTAGATGGGCGTGACTTCGCCACTCTATTTGGCGCTGCCACTGCCCACCAGCCACGCCCCGACACATGGGGTCACGCCAATCACAAAGCTTTGATGCATTCAAGTGCATTATTCTGGCACAGGAAGATTATGTTAGGACATTAACGATACAACAGAATATTGTTGTTCTATTTTTAAACACATCTCGCGATCGACTGGGAATCTTCCCGCGATCGACTGGTCGATCGTGATCGACTGGTTGGGCACCCCTGCCATAGACTATAAAAGTCTTACCCAAGGCTGAATCATAAACTAAACTGTATATATATATATATTAGGGCTGTCAAGTTAACGCGTTAATAACGCGTTAACGCAAAAAAAAATTAACGCCACTAATTATTTTAACGCGATTAACGCATGTGTATTTTTTGTCCTCGGCCGCCGTAGTTTCAGAGCGCATCGAGTTTAAAATACCATCTACAAGCTGATGCTGACAGCCCCGCTCCTGCTGCCCGCTTGTGGCAGACCACACTTCCACGCTCACCGGCAGGCCCGGACTGGCTATCGGGAGGACCGGGAGGGTGTGTGTATGTGTGGCGCGAGCGAAGCACACCTTACGTGTTGTTGTTAGCATCTGGTGCTAGCTAGCTGAGCTAACGGATATAAGGAGCTGTTTCAATGAAAACAGAGGAGCGACATTTCGCCGACAACTGCGCCGAGCACTTGACTTTATGCAGGTAGCCAGACAGCACACTCAGCACGGATAGTGCCGCAACACAGCTCATACACACAGGCATATATGCCTTGAGCTGCACATAGCTCCAACGATCCTCCACATTCACACACACGCACACGCACACGCACACGCACACGCAGTATTGTATGAGAGAGGTTCTAGGTTGAATTGAGGCGAATATTTGTAATGTTCAGAGGTTGTTGTGTTTAATATTCATGAGAATATTTGTCATTGTTCAAATGATAATAAACAAACATATAAAGCATAGTTGTCCACTCATATGTTGATAAGAGTATTAAAAACTTGAAAAATATCCCTCTAAGGTACATTTAGAACAGATAAAAAATGTGCGATTAATTTGCGATTAATCGCGATTAACTATGGACAATCATGCGATTAATCGCGATTAAATATTTTAATCGACTGACAGCCCTAATATATATATATATATATATATCAAGTACAGTAACTACAACTAGCTAACGTTGTAGCCTAGCCACTGTTCGAAATGGGGGGGAGCCAGGGGGAGGGAGCTCCCCTGAAGGCCGACTTTGAGATAAATAGGGGGAGCCCAAAACAATCGTGCATATTTGTGTCAAACAGATTAGAAATGTTGAGTTTCTGTAAATAACAGTTCTTGAAATAAATAATAGTTATTGTTCATTAGTTTCTGAATATTTGTTTTATATTTGTGAATATTTCTGGGTGTTGCCATCTGTACGTGGCGGCGCTGCATTCTTTACGTTACTTACGTTGCTATGGTTACGGTGGCGAAGCCGGCGCGGTATTTGAAATGTTCATATTGATATTTTTGTAACTCTGGCTTTGTAATAAAAAATATGGCAAAAAGAAAACAGCCAAGCGTCGCAGCTTTTGGATTCACAAGCAAAGAAGCGAAGGAGTCTAAAAATGACAACGTGAACGGAACAACTTTTAGTTGGCCGGCTGTAAGCGGGTCGAGTTTGACAGCTCCACACTGAGGGAGAGGCCTGCCGATGCGGAGCCTGAAGAGGCTTCAACAACGGCCACAGCCGCCGGTGTAGTGACACCGTCTGTAGTAGTAGCAGAGTGATTTTATAGCAATTGATCGAATCCGCGCTGCTGCGCCAGTCAACAGAGCGTGCGTGTGACATATTTAGTAGCTGAAAAATAGGGCTCCCCCGAAAGCAAATGGGTAATTTGAACACTGAGCCTAGCAGAGTGGACAAGTTGCTGTTAGCTGACAGTCAGGCACGTACCTGTCCATCAAAAATGACCATGCCCTAATTTATGCAAAAACTTTAAGACCTAATATAAATAAAAGGGTCGCGTTATAAAACAATTCACTCACCAATTCACAATCATGAAGGTGGAATCTAACTATATCCCGAATAATTTGTATTGCATCCAGGGGCAGAAACATGTTTATTTCTGTAAAGTTGGGCATTTTAACATGGGGGTCTATGGAAATATGTCCTTTCTGCAGTCATCGCCTATCGGCCAATAGATTAACTGCAGTTTGTGGCACTTCCTTATTGGCCTCCCGGCTCTGCCCCAGAGTTTGCCGCTTGGTTCAGACTCACAACACAAGTAGCCTCTGCATTCCGTTCGACACTAGCAGTCATTGGTCAACTAGCACGTCCATCATAGTTTCCCAGCCTGAACTATTGTGTGATTGGTTGGAGGGGCAACTACGGCGGTAGCACAAACGCTATTGGTTGAAAAACTAGGTTAGTGGTCCGACAGGCATGACGGTGAAGAGAAACTGGGTCACCGATCGAAAATCGTTTATGTCACAGTTCTGTGGGTTGCTATTACACATTACCAGCGCCTTTCAATGGAGAGACCAATCTCATTTCATATGCGGTAAGTATACAACTAAAAGGAGCCTGCTGCGAGGTATCAATATTGCATCTCGGTGACGCTGCTGGGTTTTAAATCATGATGGATAACGTCGATGTTTTCCCAGCTCTGTGGTTATGTCAGTGTGGTTTTCTGGAGCAGGAGGAGGGACGTTTGCTCTCAGGTCTTGACAGTTAGCTAGCTGCTGTATGCTAATATAAGTAAACCAATGGGACTGAATGCTGTTATGAACCAGAGGTGGTCCCTCCGCCCCCAGTATGTCCCTCCAGCGGTCTCTGCTGTCAGGTACTGGGGTTCGGAAGAAGCTCGTGCACAGGTAGGTGCCGGTCCGCAGGCTGCTTAATGGTAACTTAACGTGACCTAGTGCGAGCGAATAAACAAAGCTATGCAATGCTATCACGCTAGCTATGTAGGTTGTGGGCCAGTGTTGGGTGTAACGCGTTACAAAAGTAACGGAGTTACAGTAATGCAGGGCCGGACTGGGACAGTCAGGCCGTGAATTATACACCCAGCCTGGCCACTGCCAGTTTTTTTGTTTTTTTTACCATTTTGCTGGATTTATTTGTGAATATTTACGGCGTTGCTGCCCATAGTGATAGCCCTATAGTTTAAATCTACTACCTAATAATAAACATATGGACGGGGGTTACTATTTAATTTTTTTTTTTTTAAATGTTGGAGTTAAATGCATCAATCTGGTGCACTTTGAGGGGAGAATAAAGAGACGAGATCTATGGAAAAACCCATATGAAACAGAACTGTATACATTTAAATAATCATAAAATCATGAGAACATGGCCATAACCAATAACATACCATATCCAAGATAAAACAAAAAGTTAAGTTGTTTATTTATTTATTTTTGGTTCATTTATAGTTGTGAGTGTGTCTGGGCTCCTGAACCAGCCTCACCTGTCTCCCCCCTCTCCCCCCTGCTCCTCTTTGAGGCAGCAGCAAAGACTAGTTTTAGCTCTCAACACATTTTAAAAGTTTATCTTACCTTTTTTCACCTATTTAACATTTTGTTCTTTTTATTCATGCATATTTTACTAATCACTCCCCCCTCAAATGGAAATATGTGTTTACATAAATGGTGACCAAACCGTTTGAGACCCACTGAGATAACTTAGATTAAGTTAACTATCTAAACACTCAGAGAGTCCTTAACCTCACCTGAGCTGTAGTTATATCTCTCAGTCTGACAGCAGAGGACTCTCCCTCCACCTTGTTGTTGAAACAGCTCCTTATCTGTTAGAGCAGCTAGCTAACCAGATGCTAACAACAAAATACAAGTAACCGGTGTGCTCTCTCTCTCTCTCTCTCTCTCTCTCTCTCTCTCTCTCTCTCTCTCTCTCTCTCTCTCTCTCTCTCTCTCTCTCTCTCTCAAGCCACACATACAGTACACCAGAGTTGGGTGTAACGCGTTACTGTAATAATATTACTTTTGTCGGTAACGGAGTAGTGTAACGCGTTACTTTTATAATTCAGTAATCACACTACAGTTACTAACATTGCCCCGACACGCGTTACTTCGTTACTTTTATAAAATCAGTCATAATCACACTCACAGACAAGAGGGGTTTCCGCCGCAGGTTTATATGTACGTAATCTGCGCGACTTGCACGTCCACATCTCCTGCAGTGCTGCATAAACATGGCTAAGTCAGCGATAACTTTCGAGGGGTGGAGGTATGCCCATTATTTTGAGTTTGTCCGAAGAATAGACAGGAATGTGACGGTGAGGTGCAAACTGTGTCCAGGCCAGAAGCTGTTATCCACTGCTCTAAACACCACGTCAAACCTCAACAAACACCTGCAAAGAACACATGCTAAGGTGAAGCTAATAGCTAAGGACCGGACCCCCGAACCCAGAGTGAGGATGTTGTGAGTCGCCGCCGCCGACTCTGAAGCGGCACAAAGTAGAATTTGGAGGACCGGTAACCAAAGCAGAGATGGACAGGCTTGTAGCATCCTTCATAGTAGAGGTAATGTTGCCCATTTGCACAGTGGAATCACCATCGCATCGTTCAGAGATATACTGCACAAAATACAGATAGCAGGAGACAGAGGACAGCCATAGTCAGAGCTATCTGGATCAGTCTTATGCGACAATGGAAACTGAACTAAAGAGAACATTTCAAACTTTAGCAGTCTGCGTGATCTGCCTGTAGGGAGGGGCGGGCCGGCCCTGCGAGTAAAGTAACGAGTAAAGTAACGAGTAAAGTAACGAGTTACTTTATGTAGAGAGTAACGAAGTAGTGTAATATGTAATATATTACTTTTTTTTTAGTAACGACCCCATCTCTGCAGTACACACACCCTCCCGAGCTTGAATGACACACAGAGACCAATCGAGGGCTTTGATTTATGATCGGTATGGAAGTGGCCATGTCTGCAGGCCACATCATGTAGACAGACAGTCACCCTGTGTGAGGCAGACCCACATTTGCGCAGCATTGCTTTCACAATACATAGATTAGTAAGCCTGGTGTTTACCCTTTACCCTTCAGGCTCATCAAGTTCCCTCCGCTTCGCGTCGGGTTCCCTGATCAGCCTGTCGGGTGTTCTTTTCCCCATAATGACCGCCTCGCTGCACATTATCCCGCTTATTACACGGCCATATACTAAACAAACTAAGCCCATTCCGTGTTCCTGTTATTGTTTACTTCCTCTCTGCCTTCTTCTGGTGATTTATCTGACCAGCGCTCCGTCTTTTAACCTTTTTTCCTTTCTCTTTCTTGATCCTCCTTAGCAAACTTCATTATAGTCCTTGACAGTGGTCTGTACTACTATATTAACAACATGTCACATGTTAAGAATTTACAATCAGAATCGAGTATTCAACTAAGCCGTGTAATAAAAGTTGTTAGTAGCCTTAATGGCCTACCTACACAGTTGTTATGCTACAGTATACCACATTGCCCTTCACTGGATGTATAATGAGCTGCACTAAACTACATTTTAGCATTTAAAATACCTAGCCATTATTTTGCGGTTATTTTGGTAAAGTAATACCATGTATGTTCAAATAACACAGTAACGTGCCATTTAAACCTGATGGAGACCAGCTCACAGGTCCATCAGATCCCTTTAAAACAGCATCAGCGTGGTTAGGAGCTGTTGTGACAGGGTTCGGACTGTCAGAGATTGTTTGGCGCTGCTCGGGCTCTGCAGGCTCCGCAGTGGGTGCCAAATATGATCCTGGGCTTTGGGTTATTATGGTATGCATTTTGTTGTATGATCTGCTGAAAGGGACCCACACCTTGGGCTGGAGGATGCCCAGGAGGGGGGTTCAGGTCTCTGACAGGAGGAAGAATACGTGCTTTTCATATTGCTGTTTAATCTTTCAGTCGATCCCAGAAGGATGTGTTTCTTTTGCTTGGAGCACAGTCTTTTCCAAAGGGGGGTCGTTGGCTGTGGGTTCATTTCAGGACCGTTGATGGGAATATCCACAGTGGCTTTATGTTGACCTTGGGATATTGGGGATTTAAATCCGAGTAACAACGTGGGACACACACTTTAAAAACACTGTAAACAATATACAAATGTTTGTATTTTACAAGATTATTTTTTTCCGGTGAGGGATATTAATAAGACGGTCATACAACAGTGACAACAATGTAGAATGTGTTTGTATTTGTTAGATTTCTTCTTTTTTAAACTGTTATGGAAGTTGAGCAAACATGATCTGGCACCGTTTGGCTTACTTGTGCTAAAATCAGATCGATTGTATAGAATTTTGAATATCCTGAGTATATAACATTGTTTCTTTATGGTAGAGGGGGATTAAACATGTACAACCAAGCTTGAAAAATAAGCATTAGCCCTTTTAAATGCAAAATATATGATATAATGTCTTTGGGACCTAAAAGGCAACGAATGCTAGGAATGACCCAGTTGCCTTTATGGATTAATTAATGTGCAACTGGGTATTTATTCATTTTTTTGCCAAAATGTTCTTATAGTCTGCCTGTGTTATCAGTTATTGTGATATACCTTTTCATGGCAGGAAAAACATCCGGTGTGAACTTCAGCCTCAGCCTGATAGTTTTTATTCTGCTCATGAACAGGTAGCCACCTACATTAGTGCTTATCAGTATTGATTGATCTTGCAATGTAGCATTTTGATAACAGAAATGTGTTGTGGGAGTTTAGCAGGGCTGCGGTTAAGCACCCTGTTTATCACTATAACTGAATATCGAAAAAGTCATTTCTGTAAAGAAAGTGTCAATGAATGTTTTTAAAGTCTTAATTAGATTAAAATAAACAAGGGGAATCCTGCGGGAAGGGAAAAGGGAAGCAGAAGTAGCAGAAAAAGGAAATTATTGTCTAACCCTATTTTTACTTAGAATACTCTCAAAGTCTTTTTGTATCAAATGATGGATACTGAAGTTTTATTGGTCATATGTATTTACTGCAAAAACAAGGAACTACTCCAAGACACACAGAATGGTAGAGACATTAACAAGACATCACATGTAATTAAGGTCTTAATGTAAAGACATCATTTTTTAAATTATGATGTTTCTCATACATAGACTTTACTTAGGCCACCCAGGATTATTGACTGTCGCCAAATATCCTCCAATATAATGTAAATTAGGGATGCCCTTATGCATCAGTTTATGCCTGTTTTCTTTCATGTGTACATTGGTAAATAAGGTGACATGGGGGATGGCAGTTGGCAATGTTTATCTGTTTTTCTGGCCTTTGCTATTTTATGACTTGGTACTGTTGGAAAAGGTCAAGTTAACCTTAATCTGTTCACATTCTGAGGGCCATCTACAGGATAAGGATAACAACACTAACTGGGGCAATATACTGTAACTTGAAAGTAATCCAAAGGGTCTTCTGCAGGGTTTCCTCTCTGTGAACACTAGGGGTGCACGATTCAGGAAATCTCACGATTCACAATTCAAAATCAATTCTCAATTCAATACATTCATAGATTTTATTCTATATTGCTGTTTTGAGTTACTCTTTTAAACTTTTATAGGTCTCAAAGAAAAAAAGATCACACTGAATCAAATGTAAACATTTGCTACTCAAAGTTTTATTTTTCCTTTAGTCCACTCAGTCGATAGAGAGCCGAAGTCCCTCCCTTTCCGGTGGACCTCCATGGGACCTTATTTCGGAAAAAGTATGTATTGAAGTCAATGGAGAGAGAAAAGTTATCTTTCGATCCCGTTTGAATTGTGCCACGAATTACACATATGATGTTTGTCAATTTAAAAGATAATTTTGCAAGTCAAAAAAATTAAAATGTGTCTTAAAACTGTGAAGTAACACTTTTTTTTGTGTGAAACCGCTCAATGAACTACATCTCCCGTCTCGCACCACACACCAAGACGGCCGTCACGTTGGCACATTTCACTTCTTTCTTTCAGAATGAGGCGAAAAGTATTAAAAGAGGTGAAAATCACTACAAGTCTGGGCATGTTGAGAGCTGTACATACACACAAGGGGAGTTAGTCGGTTCCGTAAGAGCCAGCATGCAGGACCGGGATTCTGGGATTTGTAGTCTTTCTAGTTGCCTATTTTTCATAGTCTTATATTTCAACAGTTTTACGACAAACTGTGACTTTTTTGACCTGGAATTTATTTTTTTAAGATTGACAAACATCATATGTGTAATTCATGGCACAATTCAAATGGGATCGAAAGATACGTTTTCTCTCTCCATTGACTTCAATACATACTTTTTCCGAAATAAGGTCCCATGGGGGTCCCCGGAAGGGGAGGGACTTCGCCTCTCTATAGACACCAAGGCAGCCCTGAGACAAGGGTTAAAATTAATACTTAATACAAAATAAAAACTGATTGCAAAGATAAACTAAGTGCAAAACTTCAAATAACTTAAATTCATACTCCAAATAACAAAATCAAACAAACAATAGCTGCCTGCTACATTTAGCTGTAAAGTGCTGTAACTAGTGGTTGACTTTTAAAATGTGAACTAAACTTCCCTGGAGTATGGACTCAAATAAAATAAACAATAAACACTGTTAGCCAGAGCTCTCCATCTGAAATCCTTCTTTCTCCTACTGTTCTTTCAGACAATAAGTCAGGAGCACACAGTAACACAACATAGGCATATTATAATTCCTAACATCAGAAGTAGCCGAAAAATATATCAGGCAAGTTAACTTTACTACACTACCTCAATTACATTACATTTAGCTGACGCTTTTATCCAAAGCGACTTACAATAAGTGCATTCGACCAAGAAAATACAAACTTGAAGAAAACAGAATCATATACTGTAAGTACATCAGGTTTCATAGAGCCAAAACATTTCAAGTGCTACTCAACTGGCTTTAGATAAGCCAGTCCTTTTATTAGTATATAAGTGCTTTGTTAGTAATTCTATCGCTCGAAGTGGAGTCGAAAGAGATGAGTTTTTAGTCTGCGCCGGAAGATGTGTAGGCTTTCTGCTGTCCTGATGTCAATGGGGAGCTCATTCCACTATTTTGGAGCCAGGATAGCAAACCAACGTGTTGTTGCTGATGGGAACTTGGCCCTGGGTCCCCCTCGCAGTGAGGGTGTAGCGAGCCGTTTGGCTGATGCAGAGCGGAGTGCACATGCTGGGGTCAATAACGTGAGTCCTCAAGTTTCTAATGTTTCCGAAATATTTCAGCTTCCTTTGCAAAGCTTGCATATTGCATTCGTCTTGTCGAGCTCCTTCTTCCCTTCGCGAAAATAAAATCCAAAATATGTCCAAATTAAGGACTTCATTGCCGATGGGGCAGGTTGCGGCAAGACTGAAAAATGTGAATCGATTCTTGGAATTTCTGAATCGATTCTGGATCGGCAGAGATAGAATCGCGATTCTTATGTGAATCGATATTTTTGCGCACCCCTAGTGAACACAATATTTAGATCGGTAAATGAATCCAACGTTCAGAGAGGTTCAGAGAGGTTCAGAGAGGTTCAGAGAGGTTCAGAGAGGTTCAGAGAGGTTCTGAGGTTCTGAGAGGTTCTGAGAGGTTCTGAGAGGTTCAGAGAGATTCTGAGCGGTTCAGAGAGGTTCAGAGAGGTTCAGAGAGGTTCAGAGAGATTCAGAGAGGTTCTGAGGTTCAGAGAGGTTCAGAGAGATTCTGAGGTTCTGAGAGGTTCTGAGAGGTTCAGAGAGGTTCAGAGGTTCAGAGAGATTCAGAGAGGTTCAGAGAGGTTCAGAGAGATTCAGAGAGGTTCTGAGGTTCAGAGAGGTTCTGAGATTCAGAGAGGTTCAGAGAGGTTCAGAGAGATTCAGAGAGGTTCTGAGGTTCTGAGAGGTTCAGAGAGGTTCAGAGGTTCAGAGAGGTTCAGAGGTTCAGAGAGGTTCAGAGAGGTTCAGAGAGGTTCTGAGGTTCAGAGAGGTTCAGAGAGGTTCAGAGAGGTTCTGAGAGGTTCAGAGAGATTCAGAGAGGTTCAGAGAGGTTCTGAGGTTCAGAGAGATTCAGAGAGATTCAGAGAGGTTCAGAGAGGTTCTGAGGTTCAGAGAGGTTCTGAGAGGTTCAGAGAGGTTCAGAGAGGTTCAGAGAGGTTCTGAGAGGTTCTGAGAGATTCAGAGAGATTCAGAGAGGTTCAGAGAGGTTCAGAGAGATTCAGAGAGATTCAGAGAGGTTCAGAGAGGTTCTGAGGTTCAGAGAGGTTCTGAGAGGTTCAGAGAGGTTCAGAGAGGTTCTGAGAGGTTCTGAGAGGTTCAGAGAGATTCAGAGAGGTTCAGAGAGGTTCAGAGAGGTTCTGAGAGGTTCAGAGAGGTTCTGAGGTTCAGAGAGGTTCAGAGAGATTCTGAGGTTCTGAGAGGTTCAGAGAGGTTCTGAGGTTCTGAGAGGTTCAGAGAGGTTCAGAGAGGTTCAGAGAGGTTCAGAGAGATTCTGAGGTTCTGAGAGGTTCTGAGAGGTTCAGAGAGGTTCAGAGAGGTTCAGAGAGATTCTGAGGTTCTGAGAGGTTCTGAGAGGTTCAGAGAGGTTCAGAGAGGTTCAGAGAGATTCAGAGAGGTTCAGAGAGGTTCAGAGAGATTCAGAGAGGTTCAGAGAGGTTCTGAGGTTCAGAGAGGTTCTGAGATTCAGAGAGGTTCTGAGGTTCAGAGAGGTTCAGAGAGGTTCAGAGAGATTCAGAGAGGTTCAGAGAGGTTCAGAGGTTCAGAGAGGTTCTGAGGTTCAGAGAGGTTCAGAGAGGTTCTGAGGTTCAGAGAGGTTCTGAGAGGTTCAGAGAGGTTCAGAGAGACTGGGAAGACTGTTTCACATATTCATTACTGAAGTGCCACAAAAACAGCACAGACATTTTTAGAATAAATATCTATTCTTTGTCAAAAAAGGGGAATACAAATGTTGGTGTAAGTATGTATTTGATAGAACTCTAAAAAGAGCATCCTGTAAAACCGAAACAATGAGCTGAAAGACGCTGAGACAGTCCTTGAGCCGCGGGAACTGCAGTCGGTGGCTTCATTGTTTCGAGTTCCACCTTCCCCAATGATTGCATTTACTTCAATCATTAAAACAAATTAACATTTGGGTTTACATTTGAAAACCTAAACATTTTGCAACTCAATACTGCTCTTACGTTAAGGCTGAGTCACATATGATTCTCTAGTGTAATAAACAAAAGTCAAATGTATAACTTATTATTATCATATATTATTAGTGTGGCTCCATTACAGATAATATGTTGAGCTATTATAATATATATTATATAGCAGAAGGTGGAGTGGGCCCAACCAGCATGACTAAACGTGTGTTCTCTCCGCCAACATACACTAATGACTCGGCAGTACAGCCCTTTTTTCCCTTTTCACACGCATTCATTATTCTCCAATGAATCCATTTAACATGATTATACAGGTGGTGTTTTTTTAACTACAGTAATATAAATGTATGAGGAAGTAAGCTGGTGTTTTAAGAGATGCGGCATTGAAAATATTTTTTGAAATCCTAGTAGTTCAGTCAAAAAGCGAGCTTGGATGCTTCTCAACACAGCTATGTTTGTTATTCATTTGCCAACATTATAAAAAGTAACAGTTTATCAAATGTATAACATCACCCCCCCTTTTTATTCTAATGTTGGTCAGGATGGAGGTGTGTGTGATTGATGGTTTTCCTGGATGTGTCCTGGCTGAGTGGGTGTAGAGCAGGGAACAGAGCTGCATGCTGACTCACTGATGAAGTACAAGTAGGTGGAGGATGGAAATTGAGGCTGGCTGGTTTTGAGACCATAAAGACTGGCTGACCCAGTTTCCACTCCAGCACCAGTTCTTTTCAGTGTTCAATCACGACATAGTGGTTTCCCCCCCAGCCCAGAGCTTTGTCCCTGTGTGGCTCAGCGAGCTGTCCTGACCCAGAGCTGAGCTGCTTTAACTGTGCTTCTTTACCTCTGCATTCTGTGCTCCATGTACATTCTTTTTTTTCAAGGTATTTTTGGGCCAGAGAGTGCCTTTATTGTATGCTTTAGTGTAGAAAGGGGGAGACAGAGGGGAGGACATTGCCTGAAATGTTGGGCTGGCCCAGGATTCAAACCGGCTTACTAGCAGCAGAATCTGCATACAGCCGCCCGTTCTAACCACTGAGCTGTCCCCCAGCCCGTCGCTGTACATTTAACATTTAGATGGAACCAACATGTTTAGAACTCCATCCATTAAGACTAGCTTTTATTGCATTTTCATTATTTCTCAATCAAGAGTTCAGCTAAGACCTGCAGTAGAAACCTGCGTGGAAGCTAGGTGCTGTCAGAGTCCAAATCTGCGTATCTGGTCCCAGCTTACAGTCCACTAACCCCAGCCAATGTGAAATAGGAAAGCATTTAGCCAAATTGTAAATGGACTTTATACACATAGGTGTTTTTTGTTATTTTCGAACACTGAAATAGCTTTTCCAACAGAAGTCAGCTAAACACTTGGGGCAGAGGCAGCCTTACAAGGTGCCACCTCCTCATCAGGGGAAAACAAATACATGAACAGGCTGTTGACTGTGCCATCAGGAGCAATGTAGGAGTTAGACATGCTGTCCACAGGGGCCGGGTATCAAACCATCCACCCTCCGATAAGTGTCCGAGCTTCAGATCAGCCGCTCCTCCTCCTGAGGTTTCTCCTTAATTCTCTCTTCTGTTTTTAATAGTGAAAGCATAGTGTTTTAAAATACAAACAATTAGGTAAGCTTAACAGCATATCTGGGATAGGAAATACATTTAGCTTCGGCCTAGAAGTAATCCGGAGACGGCTTATAGGTCCGCAGAACAGTTGAGGTGCTGTTAGAGCGTCGTAGCAATCGTTAACAATGAAAAGATGACCGGAAAGGAAATATCTTTAGTGTAATTGTTCTAAGCTTCAGCCACTATAGCTTATAAAGTCACTTAAAATGTATTTAAAATGTTTTAGATTAGGGGTTCTTTTGCTATTATAGTATTACAGGTGTGTGAGTTACTACTACCACTAGTACTACTCATTACTACGGAGTAGTAGTACTAGTAGTGCTTCCGAGTGCTTAAATGGAAGAATGGACACCCTGTAAATTCAGCTTTGCATGCAAGTTAAAATGGAGAATAAAACAAATCTTGTAGCTTTCATAATTTAATTTACAATGGCTCATCAAGTAGAATCCAATTAGCCCAGAATTATTAGTTAGAATTAAGGCATTTTTTTATTCCATATTCTGATTTAAATAAGTTGTTTTTTTAAGATACTGGACATGTGTGGTTCTATATATAACTTCTTATCTATTTATTTTTGTTTACATGTGTATATTTGTGTAAGATTTGATTTGCACTTGACTGATTTTCCCCTGCCACTCTCCAGGGGTAGATGGGTTGCACCAGCTGTTTGAGGATCAAATTATATCGGGGCACAGCGACCACATCAAACCGGATGAAACTAGGTCAGGCTGAATCAGAGCAGACTGAGAGCAGACCCCGCTGATCCAGGCGAGCCCCGGCCCCTTCCAGTTTCATATCCAGGTAACTGAAGCAGCTCGTGTGCAGCCTGATCCACTCATGTTTCACAGTGGGGGGGGGTCGTATACATCAGGCTGACTCATGTGACAACAGCCTGAGAGAAGAATGCATGGTTATTGGTCCTTATTCACCCTGCTGTCTGCTCACATTCACTCAGCTACAGAGTCATATATCATGATAGCTAGCCTTGAAAGCCCTCTGGCACTATTACACTGTTGTTAATTGAATCTGAGATTTCAGAATATTTACTGTAGTATTGTATTTGAGTGGTTATTGTAAGTGTTTTAACTGATGGCATTGTGTTTGTAAAAGTGAACATTTACCTCCTGAAGTAAAGGAAATGAAAAGCTGTTTTTGGTCACAGGGACAGAACATATCACATGATGGATTCAGCTTATTATACATTTATATATCTGAGGCTCAGCATTTAGCCATTAGCCATGTTTGGTGCTAATGAATTTTAATCAGTACTATGCAATGCAGTTACACCAAGCACACCAGCTTAGTTTGCATACTATGAAAGTCTGATGAAAGATTATTGTAGTCTAACTCCACATGTTGGCCCAGTGATGTAGAACTGTACAGCAGGGGGTGTCGGCACACTGACACTGATACTTTGTTACTAAGAGCACACTTCTTGGTCACTTCCTGGAACAGACCTTTCAAGAACTATTCAACCAGAGCAGCATGGTCAAGTTACTCTTAAGTAAAGTAACTCAATAATTAGGTAGCTCGGTGAAGACGAGCCTCAGTAAACTCATAGTGTGTTCAGTAGTTGTCATCTAAATAAGTGTAACTGCACAACATTTGGTCCCATTCAGTTGTTCATTGAAATACTTTTCTTGGAAATTAGGGAATTGCACCAAATGATCACAATGTTTATTGTTTGGCAAAGATTTGTGCAAGATTTTAATATATTCTTAACTTGCATTTTGACAAAATATTTGCCTTGGCTGAGATTTGGATATTGTACTAGTTCATATTGCTATTTCATCAAACCCTGAATTAGTTAAGCCATAATACACATGACTATGAATTTAGTCTTCATGGAACAGATATGGTATGACATAATCCTCTTTAAAGAAATGACTGACAGAGGCAGTGTCTTCCTGTTCACTCTGCCTCCACACTGACCTACATGTTTGTACACTTGTTGATGCTTTTTACAATGACTCCTGCTGTGAATGACACTTCATGACATGTTATTTGTTCACAGTTGAGGGCCCAAGAGTGGATGGAAGGAGATGATTTTAACACAGAGGCTGTGATGAACATCTGTGGTGAGACTGACTTCATATTAATGTGCCTTTAAACACAGACTGTCGCTGTTAACAACCTCAATGTTTTTGACCCATCATAATGAAAGTGTCTGAAACATACCTGTGGATATTTCCATTGAGACAGCTTTGAACCTTTTATTGAATGTTTAGAGCATGATATTCAGCAGTACTGCAGTTAGTAACAAGTCTATTCCTCCACATGCCTTTGTCATTGGTTGGCAGTACATTTACATATGTGAACAAACATCGGTTACAATACACAGGCTCAGCTTGATACATACTGGAGTGCTTGCAGATATTGCTCACTGTTCTTTCTGTGTTATTTACATTTGATTCTATTGTCATGCATTTTAATTCTCCATGGAAACAGTCTTCACTGTATAGTTTCCCCTCATCTGTTGACATATAGCCTGCACAATGAATGTTTCTGGGCCATTTAAACCACATTTAAAGAGTGTATTTTACAAACAATATCACACATAACTCTGTCTTTCAAGATTACAATGATCAGTTATTACAAAACCCAGGTACCCCAACCATTACTAATGAACTCCAAAGAGCAGGGGTCGGCCAACCCCTGGCACGCGTGGAAAATAACTAGGAATAAGTGGAATAAGTGCAAAATATTTACATTTTATTTTCGGATCACTGAACGCGACCGCCGCCAGAGGCGTCTCCCCCGTTACCTGCAGAAGGAAGCCACGCACGCAGCGCAGCCCCGCTCTCTTTAACTCCAGGCGACTTTCTGCCGCTTTCCTCCGTAATGCAGGGCTGATCGTTTCACCACAGAGGAAAGCACTTCACAAATTGCAGTACCCATAAGGAGCTGTACAAATGGCGCAGTTTTTGCGTGGCGATCGATATCGGCCGATACTCACTCTCTGCCGATCGATTGGTGCTCTCTAAAAATGCCGATCGCGAGATGTAAAATACATGACACTTTTCTCTGTGTGCGGCAAAACAAGCTCGCCAAAATGGCTTCACCAGTCTGGCAGTATTTTAAGGTGTCCGAAAATGACAATAAAATAGCGGTGCAACGTGTGTGAAGCAGAAATCCTGCAGCTCCACCCGCGTGTGACGGACCGGTGAGCGGAGCAACACACACAAGAGTTAGACCTAACACACTTAGCTATTGATCTACCTCTGGAACTAGTTATAAATATATGTATTCTTCACTGTCGGGTCACTCATTACTGGATCAGTGAGCTGCATGAGATACTGACAGGCTGTCAGGAGAGAGAGAGAGGGGGAGAGAGGAAAAGAGAGCGCTTCCGCTCATTTCTCCCGTGTTATTATCCAAAGTTAATGTAAACTTGAATAATGTACTTCATTTGAATGTAACAATTATGTTGGTTGTTGTTTGTGGAAGCGCCAGTGAATGAGCCCCATTAACTGAGTTTTAAACATCACTTTTCACGAGCGTTTTCGTCGAGCTCTTCACCCCCCCCCGTTGATAATTCACGATCGTCGGCACGCTGATAAAAACATTTTTTTTCATATCAAAAAGGTTGCCGACCCCTGCCATAGAGTAAGAGAGGTCCGGCTGAATAATCCCAGCTTTGGTGTTCTCTCTGCAGATGACCTGATGGCAGACCAAAGGATGGACATCTCGTCTACAATGACTGACTTCATGTCACCCGGCTCCACCGACATCATCTCCAGCTCCATCAGCACGCCCGGCATGGACTACACCCGCAAGAGGAAGGGCAGCACCACGGATTACCAGTGAGTCCCCCAGGAGGAGAGAAGGAAGCACAGAGGAAATAAGAAAAGATGATGAATCAGGAACATTTACATGATCACAACAGCAGAGGTATAGTGCAGAGGAAGTGAAGGGAAAAGACATGCATATTGAAAAACATATTAAAGGAATAAGAAAGTAGGCACACATTATTATTATTACAAATATCAAAAACGTAAGTAAGTATAAAAAAAAAAAAAAAACATGACTGGCAAAAATGAAAAAAGGCAGGGAGGAGAGAAGGAAAAGTCAATAAATATAAATAAATAAAATGATGTGTACTATTAAACAATGTCAATCAGTTGTTTGTTTACACATTGTAAAAAGATCACAATACCTCGAAGATGCACACTAATTAATACATGTGTTTTTCCTTTCAGAATTGATGGCTTCTCATTTGAGTAAGTTCAAACATGACTCCATTTGAATAATAGTAGCACAATTTAATTTATCAAGATCTGAAATATAAAAGACCCACTGTTGATTTTGCAATATGACATTTTGAATTAACTGAAGAACAAACGTGCTAATCCCAGCAAATCCTGTATGCATGAAACTGAAGTTCTGTGGTTCTTCTAAAGGTCTGTGATGTTCTTATTGAAATGTAATCTCCTGTCTTTCCTCTTCAGTGACATGGACCCAGACAAAGATAAACTGGGAGGGTAAGCAGCCACCATGACTGTGATGATGAAGAGGGAACTTTAATCATCAGTATTGCTGTGTTTCACTGCCTCTTAAGATGTCTGATGGCACACCGATACAATGATAGTTTTGGTTCATTTGGTTAAGGGTGCTCACAGCATTGAAAGAATGACACTTTTAAAAAAAAGTTATTTTTTACAGGAGAGAATACAGAAAATAATTGTCCCTTTTACATAAGAGACTTGGTCAAAATAACTGAAGAGTTCCCTGTCAGCAGCTTTCATTGGACATGCTTTCTTTTGTGTATTTAAAGACTGAAATCAATAACTACATATTCATATTCAACTCTGTCTTTATTTATGACAATGACCCAATGTTGACATCTGTAGTTCCATATCCTGTCCCTGCTAAACAGTTTACGTCTTCTGATTTCTAACTGCAAGAACTTAGCGCTCTGCACTGTAACAGAGTGGGCCTTTCTTTCCATTGATCTAATCTCAGATACTCACACAATTTAAAGGTCCTTGCTTAGATTTGAAACTAAAGCAGCTCGAATTTGCCTTGAAATTCAATCTGCCCTTATCAAGCTAAACAGTTACAGTCTGTCCAGCGACAGTAACCTCTGACAGTAGGCAGGTACAACCATCCCTCATCAAGTTAACACTTTTATACGGGAGGATTTGCTCTGTGAGACTTGGAACACGCGTGTAATTAAACTTGTTCTTGAGGCACAGTGACGTTCAACTCACATCATTGTAATGGTTTGTTAGCAGAAGCCTTGGCACACCACTAGATATTACTCAAGCTAAAGGAAAATGCGTTTTCGTAATTGCAACGCTGGAAGCAGAGCAATCATAAGAATACAATATTTAATTCTCATCCCCTCTGTTCATTATTCCTGTGTATTTCAAATACCTCCTCCCTCATTCATTTCAATCTCAAGCTCTGACCTGCATTTCTCTCAAATGTTCTCCTCAAATATTTCTCTGTTTGTCGTTGCAGTGACCAACAGGGCCGGATTAAGAATGCCAGGTATAAACTCCCCCCCCCCCAGCCCTCTCTCACTCCCCCTGCCTTCTAATCTTTCTTACATGAATTAAATAGTCCCTCTGTCTGATTGGAACAGAGGGAGCTTTGTGCACGGTGATAATAAGAAACTTTATACATTGAAATGTATAGATCTGAGCATAATGTGGGGCTGAGGGTGTGTAAGAGCATACCGAACGGCTAATGACAAGCTCCCTCTGTGGAGAGAAGTCCCTTTTATTAGCAGCTACAGAACCATTTGACAGACCAGAGAGATGTGTTCAGTCCTGGAGCACACACTCAACAGAGAGACATTTCATCTGTAGAGGGCGGTCCGTTCTGAGCTGCATTTCATATATCATGTTAGATTAGACTGGGAGCTGTGCAGTTTAAGTATTCTGTCTTACATACTAAAGGTGAAATCAACCAAAGTGTATTTTCTTTGCATTCATGGCAGTCAGATGAGATGTGTGTTCTAACCCTCTCTGCTTCTCCCCACAGAGAGGCTCACAGTCAGATCGAGAAGCGGCGCAGGGACAAAATGAACAGCTTCATCGACGAGCTGGCCTCTCTGGTGCCCACCTGCAACGCCATGTCTCGCAAACTGGACAAGCTGACGGTGCTGCGCATGGCCGTCCAGCACATGAAGACCCTCAGAGGTTAGCAGACCCTGATACACACTCTATCGACACAAGTCTGTACAGCAGACCACCTCTGCTGGCAGAGAGCTCACTGCTCCATAGTTTCTCTTCTCTGTACTGGACATACAACTTCTAACTTGACCTTCTTCACACTGTACATTTTACATTCATATTTAGTTGATATACTATTCCATGCACACTTACTGTAATGTACATCATATCCTACTTTAACATTGTGCTGGGTGTAGTTTGGCCCTTAATAGTGTTTATTTGTCAGACAGATGTTTATCTTTTACAGTCAACTTGTATATATTTGGCTTTTTATAGTTCTGTTTTATTTTCTATTTTGAGATGTTTATATTCTGTTTTTTGTTTTTTTACTCTTTTTTTCTCCAAATGATGTGCAATGCCTTTGTTATAACATGCTGCTGTAACAACATTTTGTTTTAGCTTAACTTATCTTTAATCTGCTGAAAAAAAAGAACAGGTTTGTAGGCAAGCTAAAACATCTGCACAGACATTCTGCCTGAAAACAGTTCATACAGTTCACTCTCACAGGAGGCACAGGAAGTGTCAGTAAGAGCTACAAGTCATTGATATGTGAGGCTCTGTGGGACAGCTGAGTGTAATGAAGGGGAATAAAGGGGAACATGTCACAGTAGAGAGTGATCAGAAGTGCATCAGTTCTTTTTAAAGGGAGGCATTACAGCAGCAGGGACACAGCGCAGACACAAGGCACACGTCTATATCCGTTTTATCTTAGATAAGGAAAGCACACTTTATGAACAAAATATTAAACAAATATGTTCACCATGGAAATAAAAAAAGAAAAATGCAAGTGAATGTATTGAAGGAGCCAGTAACAATAACAGATTGTAAATAAATAAATAAATAAATAAATTGTAAATAAATAAATTGTAAAGTAAGAACATGTTTTGAATGCACATAACTCTATAATGTACCAAACATTTGTAATTGTACTACACAATGTTATTTATTTATATATATATATATATATATATATATATATATATATATAAAACATTTTTTGTATCATTAATTGATCAGGACAGGCTTGTTAGGAGGCAATATATAATAATAAAACTCTGTAATTCTTTTTAATGACACTTTGTCACTGGAAAGAGCTTCTTTGAGCATTTAAGAAAATAAAGGACTGGGAGGAGAACTTGTTCCAAGAAAATGGGAAAAGTGTGTAAAATAATGAATAGAGGTGTGACTGGTGTGTTTCCTGGTGTGCAGGAGCAGCCAACCCGTACACAGAGGCCAACTACAAGCCCTCCTTCCTGTCAGACGATGAGCTGAAGCACCTGATATTAAGGGTGAGTCAAAGGATCCAGTCTTTCAAACTCTCAATTATTCATTTTCATCATTAACTGCAATTCATTGTTTTGTTTATGTATTATGGTATTCAAAACATCAAAGTATTTATTATGTTAATATCATAAATAATAATGTTCTGCTCGGGTCAAATTGGACCTGTTCCTAACTGTTTCAAATCAGGATAAAGGTTTATTTTATGTTTGTCCCAGAAAAATAACATGTTTGCTTGTATACTACAGTTTTCCATGAGAAAATAATCTTGATCACTTTCATTAGGCTTTGGGTTTTATTCAAATGTATATAATCTGTGGTCTTCTGGGATTCATTTTGTAAAATCATTTAAACCTTTGTTCCTTTTTAAATCAGAAATGAGGTTTGATTTTGGGTAAATGTGTTCTTAGTGACCATACATTTCAAAGAGAAGAGGTACAACTTTGTGGTAATACAAGGAATAAAGACACATTTGGGGGATTATTTATACTAAACTTAACACAAAAAGGAAGCACTGCAAAAATGTTCAGAGCACTGGAACCTCAACACGTGGAGGAACATTATGTTCAGAGCACTGGAACCCTCAACACGTGGAGGAGGAACATTATGTTCAGAGCACTGGAACCTCAACACGCGGAGGAACATTATGTTCAGAGCACTGGAACCTCAACACGTGGAGGAACATTATGTTCAGAGCACTGGAACCTCAACACGTGGAGGAACATTATGTTCAGAGCACTGGAACCTCAACACGTGGAGGTACATTATGTTCAGAGCACTGGAACCTCAACACAGGGAGGAACATTATGTTCAGAGCACTGGAACCTCAACACGTGGAGGAACATTATGTTCAGAGCACTGGAACCTCAACACGTGGAGGAACATTATGTTCAGAGCACTGGAACCTCAACACAGGGAGGAACATTATGTTCAGAGCACTGGAACCTCAACACGTGGAGGAACATTATGTTCAGAGCACTGGAACCTCAACACGTGGAGGAACATTATGTTCAGAGCACTGGAACCTCAACACGTGGAGGTACATTATGTTCAGAGCACTGGAACCTCAACACGTGGAGGAACATTATGTTCAGAGCACTGGAACCTCAACACGTGGAGGAACATTATGTTCAGAGCACTGGAACCTCAACACGTGGAGGAACATTATGTTCAGGCACTGGAACCTCAACACGTGGAGGAACATTATGTTCAGAGCACTGGAACCTCAACACGTGGAGGAACATTATGTTCAGAGCACTGGAACCTCAACACGTGGAGGTACATTATGTTCAGAGCACTGGAACCTCAACACGTGGAGGAACATTATGTTCAGAGCACTGGAACCTCAACACGTGGAGGAACATTATGTTCAGAGCACTGGAACCTCAACACGTGGAGGAACATTATGTTCAGAGCACTGGAACCTCAACACGTGGAGGAACATTATGTTCAGAGCACTGGAACCTCAACACGTGGAGGAACATTTATGTTCAGAGCACTGGAACCCTCAACACAGTGGAGGAACATTATGTTCAGAGCGACATGGAACCTAAAACAGTGGAGGAACATTATGTTCAGAGCACTGGACCTCAAACGTGGTAGGGAACATTATGTTCAGAGCACTGGAACCTCAACACGTGGAGGAACATTATGTTCAGAGCACTGGAACCTCAACACAGGGAGGAACATTATGTTCAGAGCACTGGAACCTCAACACGTGGAGGAACATTATGTTCAGAGCACTGGAACCTCAACACGTGGAGGAAACATTATGTTCAGAGCATCTGGAAACCTCAACACGCGAGAGGAACATTATGTTCAGAGCACTGGAACCTCAACACGCGGAGGAATCACTTATGTTCAAACGTGAGTCAGAGCACTGGAACCTCAACACGCGGAGGAACGTTATGTTCAGAGCACTGGAACCTCAACACGCGGAGGTACGTTATGTTCAGAGCACTGGAACCTCAACACGCGGAGGTACGTTATGTTCAGAGCACTGGAACCTCAACACGCGGAGGTACATTATGTTCAGAGCACTGGAACCTCAACACGCGGAGGTACATTATGTTCAGAGCACTGGAACCTCAACACGTGTAGGAACATTATGTTCAGAGCACTGTAACCTCAACACGTGGAGGTACATTATGTTCAGAGCACTGGAACCTCAACACGCGGAGGAACATTATGTTCAGAGCACTGGACCTCAACACGTGGAGGTACATTATGTTCAGAGCACTGGAACCTCAACACGTGGAGAGGAAATTATGTCAGAGCACTGGAACCTCAACACGTGGAGGTACATTATGTTCAGAGCACTGGAACCTCAACACGTGGAGGAACATTATGTTCAGAGCACTGGAACCTCAACACGTGGAGGAACATTATGTTCAGAGCACTGGAACCTCAACACGGGAGGAAGGAACATTATGTTCAGAGCACTGGAACCTCAACACGTGGAGGTACATATGTTCAGAGCACTGGAACCTCAACACGTGGAGGAACATTATGTTCAGAGCACTGGAACCTCAACACGTGGAGGAACATTATGTTCAGAGCACTGGAACCTCAACACGTGGAGGAACATTATGTTCAGAGCACTGGAACCTCAACACGCGGAGGAGGAGAGACAATTAGGTTTCAGAGCACTGGAACCTCAACACGCGGAGGTAACATTATGTTCAGAGCACTGGAACCTCAACACGCGGAGGAGGAACATTATGTTCAGAGCACTGGAAACCTCAACACGCGGAGGAACATTATGTTCAGAGCACTGGAACCTCAAACACGCGGAGGAACATTATGTTCAGAGACTGGAACACTCAACACGCGGAGGAACATTATGTTCAGAGCACTGGAACCTCAACACGCGGAGGAAGGAACATATGTTCAGAGCACTGGAACCTCAACACAGGGAGGAACGTTTATGTTCAGAGCACTGGAACCTCAACACGTGGAGGAACGTTATGTTCAGAGCACTGGAACCTCAACACGTGGAGGAAACATTATGTTCAGAGCACTGGAACCTCAACACGTGGAGGTACATTATGTTCAGAGCACTGGAACCTCAACACGCGGAGGAAACATTCTGTTTCAGAGCACTGGAACCTCAACACGCGGAGGAAACATTATGTTCAGAGCACTGGAACCTCAACACGTGGAGGAACATTATGTTCAGAGCACTGGAACCCTCAACAAGCAGAGGAACATTAGGTTCAGAGCACTGGGAACCTCAAACACGCGGAGGTACATTATGTTCAGAGCACTGGAACCTCAACACGCGGAGGAACATTATGTTCAGAGCACTGGAACCTCAACACGCGGAGGAACATTATGTTCAGAGCACTGGAACCTCAACACGCGGAGGAACATTATGTTCAGAGCACTGGAACCTCAACACGCGGAGGAACATTATGTTCAGAGCACTGGAACCTCAACACGTGGAGGAACATTATGTTCAGAGCACTGGAACCTCAACACGCGGAGGAACATTATGTTCAGAGCACTGGAACCTCAACACGCGGAGGAACATTATGTTCAGAGCACTGGAACCTCAACACAGGAGGAACATTATGTTCAGAGCACTGGAACCTCAACACGCGGAGGAACATTATGTTCAGAGCACTGGAACCTCAACACGCGGAGAGGAACATTATGCTCAGAGCACTGGAACCTCAACACGCGGCTAGGAACATTATGTTCAGAGCACTGGAACCCTCAACACGCGGAGGAACCTATGTTCAGAGCACTGGAACCCTCAACACGCGGAGGAACATTATGTTCAGAGCACTGGAACCTCAACACAGGGAGGAACGTTATGTTCAGAGCACTGGAACCTCAACACGTGGAGGAACGTTATGTTCAGAGCACTGGAACCTCAACACGTGGAGGAACGTTATGTTCAGAGCACTGGAACCTCAACACGTGGAGGAACGTTATGTTCAGAGCACTGGAACCTCAACACGTGGAGGTACGTTATGTTCAGAGCACTGGAACCTCAACACGTGGAGGAACGTTATGTTCAGAGCACTGGAACCTCAACACGCGGAGGAACATTATGTTCAGTGATGAGTCCAGATTCTGCCTACGGCACTTGGATCGTAGGGTCACGGTGTGGAGAAGACGCAGAGAAGGCTTTGCTGATTGCTACACCGATAGAGTAGGAGAGGAGAGGAGAGGAGAGGATGGGATGGCCTGCAGTCCTGACCGCAACCTCATTGAACCCCATTTTGGGATCAACTTGGCCCTGCTGTCCGTGCCAGAGTGACCAACACAACCACGTTGGCTGACCTGGGACAAATGCTGGTTGAAGAATGGGATACCATCCCATGCTCACATGAGTGTGAGCATGATGGTGACAGCATGAGGAGAAGAGGCTGTTGTGGCTGTGTTTGGTTCTTCCACACGCTACTGAGGCTGCTTGTTAAATAAATAAATAGTTAATAAATCAATTGTTGCCAATATGTCTTTATTTATCAGACTTCAATCATCCAATCCACCAAACGAAAGCAGCAGCAAAAAAAGCTGTTTGGCATTGGCAGAGGAGATTTGTCACATTTTTCATGGGCGCACCCCACATACTCTGCTGCTCATCCCACAAATGCTTGTTCCTCACAAATGTGACCATTGGAAAGATAAGAAAACGGGCTTTCCAACGGTATAAGATGTATTGCCAAAAAGCATTGTTACAACATAGAAATTATCTACCAAACACAAATTGCCTTTTTGTGTTAAGTTGATATGCTTAAAGGGGACCTATCATGCAAAATGCACTTTTGTACGTCTTTTATACATGAATATGTGTCCCCGGTGTTCCAGGGAACTCACCAAGTGTCAGAAAACACAACCCTCTCTATTTTCCTCCATACCCAAATCTCTAAAAAAGGGGCTGCAACGGATCTGATACAGACTGATCCAGATTTCACTTCTATGTCGTCACAGAAGTGGCGCTACGGCTATTGGGCCAACTCTCCACCTATCAGGGGAATGTGGGGTTGGGCCACGGCCGGCCATTGCCGCTCGAAAGCGCTGGAGACGCTGTAGTACATATGCCAGGCCTGTAAGTGGCGCTGTAGTCTGCCACAAAAGCAGCGAAGAATACTTCCCGCCCATAGTTACCCTTCTGTTTATTCTCCGCTGTGGCTTTTTTTCTCCCTCCCCGAGGCAAGCGTTTGCTCCCGCTGCTTTAATTCAATGCAATCCCTCCCCGTCGAGCCAAGCACTGTAATTCTCTCCGGTTAGTCCACCAGCAGATGACAAACACCCACCTCTCCGCCTCTTCCAAGGAACGAGGGGACCGTGCGGCAGAGTTTCAGTTTCAGTTACTTTCGCCGGTCAAGATGTCCGTTAAAGTTTAAATCTTCCGGACAAAATTAGAAAAGTGCCGGTCAAAGGTCTTCTTTGTTATTTATTGAGCTTTAAAACATATGAATAACGACTCTATATAATAAAACACGGAGATCTCTTTTTCTCCTCCTCTTCTGACAGCCCAGCAGCTGATCAGAGCACGGCTCACCTCTGCTGCAGGGGGGCGTGGTCAGCAGAATCAGACCCGTAGACAGCAAACAGCACATAGAGCGAAATGAGGCATGGCTAAAATGCATGATCTGTTTGGTATTTTGAAAACAGAAACTTATACATATACCCAGGGGCGTCGCCTGGACCTGAAAACATTCGGGGCTTAGCCCACAGTGGCGGCGGCACTACAGTGGCATTTTTTACTGCAACACTCCCCACACGCACACACACAGTACACCCGCGACTGTTACAATGAAGGCTCGATAATCAGCTCAGGCATATAGGCAGGGGTAAAGTGGTATTTTTTATGAGTGGGGAGCTCACCTCCTCTAGGGGGGTCCGGGGGGATGCTCCCCCGGGAAGATTTTTTTTTTAAATATTGAAGTTAAATGCATCAATCTGGTGCACTTTGAGAGCAACATGAAGAGATCTATGGATACCTCTCTCAATACCCATATGAAGCAGAACTGTAAACAGATGTACTTTTTCTTTATGGATATTTTACTAATCACTCCCCTTTTAAACTCTATTCTTGTTTTACTGCCATATAGTATTTCATAACTGTTTTTCCTTTATTCTCTTTTTTTTAATAACTATAATGATCATATGAAGGTGTGCCGCGGAAATAATCTTTTGAATAATTTGTGACCAAACCGTTTGAGACCCACTGAGATAACTTAGACTAAAGTTAACTATCTAAACACTCAGAGAGTCCTTTAGCTCACCTGAGTCTCTCAGTCTGAGAGGAGAGGACTCTCCTCCAGCTTCTTGTGGAACAAACAGCTCCTTATGTCCGTTAGTGCAGCTAGCTAACCAGATGCTAACAACACGGTCCATGCTGACACCGGTCCCTCTCTCCCCCTCTCTCCCTCTCTCTCTCTCTATCACACTAAATGCGCTATTGCCACACACACACACAGAGCCAAGCTTGAATGACACAAGCACACGTTTATTTCCATGCAACTCTCTGATTGGTCTGGTGTCATGCCTCTGTTGCATTCACTGAACACGGGAAATTACAGTGCTGCCGTCCTCTCTTGTGTCATGATGAGGTTCACGTAAAGCACGGTTAATGTATTATATTATTGAGGGAGAATTGTCCGGGGCTACAGAAAAAACATTCGGGGCTAAAGCCCCGAATGCCCAGGCCAGGCGACGCCACTGCATATACCTTATATAGGTATGGCCCTACAATATATCATTTAAATATAGCATGATAGGTCCACTTTAATAAATAGTCAACACGGGAGGACTGACGTTGATGGGAAGACGACAAAAGGGTTAGGAGTGACTTTCTTTAACGAGGAAGATGTATTTGTGAGACTCCCCACATTTATCCCAGTGTTCTCTGTGTTTGACACCAGGCTGCTGATGGTTTCCTGTTTGTGGTTGGGTGTGACCGCGGGAAGATCCTCTTTGTTTCTGAGTCCGTCTTCAAGATTCTCAACTACAGCCAGGTACGCTGACTCATGTTAATGTGCTGCTGTTTACTATTATTTATTATCATTTATCCCAGCCTCTCCACGATGAACAACCTATGGTCTGTTTCATATTTTAAACGTTTTATATCCTTCTGTCAGTCACTCGCACTCATGATTTCATAGTGTTGACAATTTTTGGAAGAATTCAAAACGTTTATCACAAATCAGCAGAATTTCCTCAGTATAAATAATCAAATCCCAGCAGCAGATCATCACAATTTCCTGACTTCAGTTGGAAATTCTGTCTCACAGTTAACTTTAGATTGAAGATTTAAATTGCCTTGCAGTTTCCGAAAGAAAAACATGCACGGTAATGGAAGAATAATTTATGGCCTTCAGAGAATTAGATGTTGCAGTTGTAAGGAGATGTTTTTAGGTCTGTCCTCGACTGTATTGTTTATGTTCTCTGCCTCTGTTCACCTCTCACTTAGTTCCCTCTGTTCCTGCTGTCTCTCACATGTGACCTTCTCTCTGCAGAATGACCTGATAGGTCAGAGTCTGTTTGACTACCTTCACCCGAAGGACATCGCCAAGGTCAAAGAGCAGCTGTCCTCTTCAGACACCGCCCCCCGAGAGCGGCTCATCGATGCCAAAAGTAAGAGTCCGAACACATCACCTCCTGTGGGGCCGTTAACATACAAGATGTCTTGTTACTAGCACTTCCTTTAACATACGTCCAACCATCATTTATTAACAGGGTTCCCGCGGGGTCTTAAAAAGTCTTAAATGTGATTATCTGAATTTAAGGCCTTAAAAAGGTCTTAAATATGACCAAAAAAATAAGAAAGGTCTTAAATATGATTTAGAAGGTCTTAAAAATGATCGGATTTGAAAGGTACTTCTGTGTTGCGATCGCGTCTAAATGTGTTTTGGGGGAAATGTCCGGGCTGCAAAGTAACCAGTACGGTAAGAGCCTTTCAGTTCCCCCCAACAATTTGTATTGAATTAAATCAACATGGAACCAGTAATCACTAACTTTGTTTCCCCCGGCCCCTTATCGGAGAACACCCAGCTAGTAACCTAGCAACCAAGTAAGTGGCAGTCAGAAACTAAGGGATCTTCGAATCTATTTACAAACAAATATGGGGAAGTGTAAGTTCAACCATATTTGGTTGGAAAACATCAAATTTAGTGCTTGGTTGAAACCAGTTGAGGGGAACGTGTTTGAAGCCTGCTGCACCTTTTGCAAAAAAAAAATAGCGTTTGTTTTGCTAATGTAGCGTTAGCTAGTGCAGCAGCGGCTAGATCCTCTCCTGGGTTTTAGGCGGCGGAAGTGACGTAATCTGCCACCCAGGACAAGAGACGAGCATATTAAATGTATTATTTTCGGTTGTGTATTTGTGTTTCCAGGTATAACATTTAAGTTATAATAACAATCATAATTTGTGGATTAATTTCATTATGGTATTTGAGTTTGTTTCAGATTAACTTTTGTATTTGATGTTGCAATTTAATTTCTCCAAGAGAGACAAAAATCACTAAAAGATCTGGTGGATATCTGACCAGTATTTATATATATCCTAAATGTTCTTTGGGTTTTATCCACAAATGCAACACAAATAAGAACTGTAAGTTATTATTTAATAACCAACCATTATTATTGAAATGTAAGTATATTTCACACATTTTAATGTTGTTATAGAGTATGATCTCATTATTCGTTAATGAACCTCATATTTGTGACAAGACGTGCGTGAGCGGAACTCTCCTCTATTTAGGGTAAACGTTAAACTTCTAATACAAAAGTTGCCGACTTCTCATCCACGATTACGTCACTTCCGCCGCCTAAAACCCAGGAGGTATACGATCTAGCACTACACACACACACACACACACACACACACACACACACACACACACACACACACACACACACACACACACACACACACACAGACACACTTTTTGTCTAACACGCTAACACAGTTCTGTGTACTGTTATGCTGTTATGTTCAGTCATCGTTCTTATGTTGAACATGAATACATTTCATGTACGTATTTCTTCTTTCATAGCAATTTTCCTTCATACTTTCTTGCCGTGAAATAGGTCTTAAATTCTATTCAAAGTGGTCTTAAAAAGGTCTTAAAAAGTCTTACATTTGTAAGAGTCGGTAGGACTGATAATTTATTCCGGCAAATTACTCAGACCTACTAATTGACCTAACAGAAGTTATTGAGTTTATGTAAGTTTGCTGCTTGGCTCAGATCCACCAACGTCAGCAAGATCTCACCTCTATTAACTCCTGGAGAACCAGGTTCAATTAACTGCTGTTTCAATTCAGACGTCCCGCTAAATCTGTTTAAGCGATCCTGAAGGATTTTGATATCAGTAAATGAGGTGTGGCCCTACCCAAGTGTGAGTGTGGCAGGGTGCAATCTTACCTTTGAAGCAGGAGAGGAGAGTGCAGATGTCTTTTAAGTTATCCCAATCCAAAAGGTGGGATCAGTTTATTTGAAGAAAAATAGGTCCAAACTTATACAGGGTTTTTACCTTCTCTCATTACAACATTATAATCATACTAAACATATCATGCTGGGGTTATTTTCTAATCTAAAACCTTAATTCATAGTTCACACATTAAAGTCTTCCGACAAAATCCAAAAGGAATTTCCTCGTGGTGGCGAAGGTTCTCTAATTAGTTCTAAAATCCCGACACATTTAAGAATGGTAGGTTAAAAATCCCGACACATTTAAGAATGGTAGGTTAAAAATCCCTACACATTTAAGAATGGTTGGTTTAAGAATCCCGACACATTTAAGAATGGTAGGTTTAAAAATCCCAACACCTTTAAGAATGGTAGGTTTAAAAATCCCATTCAAAACTTTCATCTAAACCATTCCCTCAGTATTCAATACACAGAGATTTAAGCAATAGTTACCAAGTTTGAGAGAACCTTACCGAGAGCAAAAATCCAGCTCTGAAGGAGAGAGCGTTACCGGGAGAGAGTATACCAGGGGATCCCCCCCCCCCTCTCTCACTCTCTCCAAAAAGGAAGTTCCTCCCCATCCGCCAGTGTCTTTATGCTCGAAAACAGGATAGAAAAACCTAAAGACACCTCCTCCATACCCATATTTGTGGAAACTGGGCATGGCCTCTGATGTACAGGCCTGGACATGACCAGCCATATTCTATGGCTATGGCATAAGACACACCTCCCATGTTTGTGTAAAAAGTTCATGACCTCTAGTGTGCAAGACTTGCAAAATATTATTCTCGGCTAACCACCTTTTTGGGGCCTTAGTATTTCTCCTTAAGTCAGGAGCCCCCCTCCCTGTGTACTGCTGTGAGGGGAGAGGGAAGAAACTGCCTCCTCTCTTTATCAGTGACACCCATAAACCATTATAGGCCTTACACTCAACTTACCAAACCACTTTGTTTATACTGTAAATATAGAAAATGATAACATATGAAACATTTTCATTGTGGGTTATACAAGAATATAATTGACTATATTTGATTATAACTAACTTTCGTTTTAATTATTCAACCTAATATGAAGATCTCAACACATTTGAGTTGGTGAAACCTGCAGGAACCCTGATTAATGACAACATTTAGCCTACAGTCTCTCAACAATGCACACTTACATTTTGGAAAAACAATTGTCAATTTTCATATCAGGATTTCTATCAGACTTTAGAATGGAGAAAGCTGACTCACAACTGAAAGTCAATCAGAACTTGGTCATGGTATAGTGCTACTTACAACAGATAGATTAAAAAAAATGCAATACGTCGCCTTGCTTATAGTATTGAAATACAGCACAACATATTGAATCACTACATGTATCTTGGCAACTGCCATTGTTAGTTTTCCCCTTTGGATCTAGCCCTGTGTGACTGTTTTTAAATTGTATTTTTACTATTGTACAAAATAAACTGTTCTATTTTTGACAATTGAAACGCGTCTCTTGTTCCATGAGTAACCGAACCTGTGTGTCCTAGTGATTTAAAACTTGTCATATTTCCCTGGGTGAAATTCCCGGGGTGGCATTGTCGGACTTAGTGGTTTAACCAAACTACTGTTAAATAAATACCTTTCATCTGCGGCCGCGGCCACTGGCAGTGGCTCAGTCAGTAGGGGCTTGGACTGTGAGCCGTAGGGTCGCCGGTTCAGGTGTGATTTAAAGCAATGATATAAGGATCATAAAGCATTTACATTTTTTATTCAAATACCCTTTTAGTGTAGATTCATCTTGTGAAAGCAGAGATTATGGGTTGCCTTGAGTTGATCTGATTTTCTGCTGAGATATATCAGCTTCCATTTTCTAATTTGTCAAAAAGAATTTACAAAAAAGAGAGAGAAGTCTGATTCAAATATTGAACAAAACAGCTTTTACAAGGATGCAATGCAATAATGGTGCAAAATAAGTACAACTACAGACAATGGCTGGTATAGTTTTAAAGATTAGATAATGGAACAAACTATTTAAAAAATCTATGGATCGATACATGCAGAAAGGTTGAACTGGGCATCATTGAATACTTTAACAAAGACACTGTTGTGAATAACAATACAACATTATATTTAACTACAGGAGTTTCATGCTGGTGGGACATTATTAGAATACACACACGTTATTGTTTTGCTTTTGAGAATGATGAAAATATTACAATAATGCTAATACATAAAAATAATACCAAAGAAGGACAACAAACACATTGTTTTGTGTGTGTGTGTGTGTGTGTGTGTGTGTGTGTGTGTGTGTGTGTGTGTGTGTGTGTGTGTGTGTGTGTGTGTGTGTGTGTGTGTGTTGTGTGTGGGTGTGTGTGTGTGTGTGTGTGTGTGTGTGTGGTGTGTGTGTGTGTGTGTGTGTGTGTGTGTGTGTGTGGTGTGTGTGTGTGGTGTGTGTGTGGTGTGTGGTGTGTGTGTGTTGTGTGTGTGTGTGTGTGTGTGTGTGTGTGTGTGTGTGTGTGTGTGTGTGTGTGTGTGTGTGTGTGTGTGTGTGTTGTGTGTGTGTGTGTGTAGCTGGGCTCCCGGTGAAGACGGACATCCCCCCCGGCCCCTCCAGACTCTGCTCTGGAGCCAGACGCTCGTTCTTCTGCAGGATGAAGTGCAACAGGCCTTCTGTCAAAGTGGAGGACAAAGACTTTCCCTCCACCTGCTCCAAGAAGAAAGGTACAGACTGTTCTCTAGAACGTGATGAAATGTAAAGCTGCATACACAAAGCTCTGTGCGTCTTCACATCAGGTTCTCCAGTCCAGGACACTCCTCTGCCTTCTGGGCACAGCATTCTGTTTTTCTACTTATGAGATCAAAAGCTGTCCTGGTGGCAAGGCACATCCTTATTAGGACCAGGAATCACACTTCAGTTAGCAAGAGAACATCTCCATTACACAACCAAGAGCGTGGCCTAAAGCGCAGATATTTACATATTCATTTAACGCTCCCCGAACCCATCCCAAAGAGCAATAGAACAACTGGATTCTTGCTCAGGAGCAGAGGTGGATAAAGGACTCAGATCCTGTACTTGAGTAACAGTAGAAATACTATAGTCTTTCAAGTTGCTGTGCTGTTACTAAGTAAGAATACAAGCACTTCACACACCTCAGTTTGAAACCCTTTTATACTTTCAGACACTGATGTGCTAATGTTCAAACACGTCAACATGGTTACGAAATGAACCTGCAACCGTTCACCATGAGAGAATGGATCAGATAGAAGATGGGATGTTAGCATGAATTCAAAATACTAACACACAAAGCTAGAGATGGTCAGTGTTGCTTTCAATCCACATACAAAGGGCCCCACAGTGGAAGTACTAGGAAGTGGAGCGGGGAGTCCGGTTCTTTAGGCCCAATTCCAAACCGCCCCCTAAACCCTCCGCCTATACCCCCCCTCCGTTTGCGTGGAGGGTCCGCTCATTAAGTGCTGTTCCAAACTAATGAGTGTGGAGGGGGAGTGGCTTATCAAGCCGTCCAACAGCAAGTCTGCATCACCTGACTTCACCTGCTGCTCTACCTGACCGACTCAACGCTGTGTGTGTCCGTCCAACACATTCTCACTCCCAACTCGGCCTATGTTGACGTTATGTCAGGGTCACTTTCCAACGCAAGGGGGGGGCCCTTTAGCATCGAGTTTCAACTATCAGGGAGTCCCATTGACTTGCATAGAGCTCCCTGAACGTTGGTAATAGACGAGTTGGGATCGCGGAGAAATGCTCTCTGCAGACCCATTCTCACAGCGTTTATCAACCTTTTTCTTACTCAATATCAAGCCACACTTATTGTGTTTACTTCTTTATTTTAATTGTATAATGTCTGGCTTTTGTTGCCGTCAGTTAGGGGGAGAGTAGGGGCTCAGAAAACTGAAATCGGTATTGTTTCATCGGTTTTTCCTACTAATTTTGTATTCTTTTCTAAACCACACACTGTTATTTACTCAACAATAAGACACAATTACCCTTGTGTTTATTCATTTGTTTGATTGTATAATGTCGGACTTTTGGAGTCCGTCAGGACCGAGAGTCTGAGCAGCTCATTCGAACACAGGAAGCTGTATTTTCAAAATAAGAGTTCATTTTAATATTATGTTTGATAATATATTTTTATTAACTAGACCACTGGGTCATGTTAAGACCATATTTTCTGTTGGTTTGGTGTTACAAATATAAAAACAATATATGTGTGGATAACAAAATACATCCATCATAAACTAAACTGGAAACAGCAGTATATTTTATTGTGTTAACACTGTAAACCTGAGTGCTTTAACCGCCTAGTGGTTAAAGCATGTTATTGAATTTTTTTGTTGATACGTTATATTTGATGAAAACATAAAAATATTAATAGTACATACTTTTATAGTGGGAAAGTAGAAGGTCAATGATAGAAATATAGAATATAAAATATCAATAAGATACTGTAAGTGACCTCTACAATAAAACAGTTTAGTGCAGGACGTCCAAAGATATTAATAGGAGGATGTGCAAAACAGACAAACTAATTAGGCTTTATTTAAACATGAAAGAATACTTTAGGTTAAGGTCTTCTTTTGAATAAGAAAAAAGCTTTGGGGGTATCTACAGATAAATATTAAACCTGACAAAGTACTTAACGTCTAATATATTGCATAATTTGTTTTGGGACTTGACAATCACCTGCAATGTTAACTATGTTGAAGCACTTATTTTAACTGATATTATACATATGTATTAAACTCTTATAAGATGTATGTAGATAGTATAAGAAATGTGCAGAATATGACAGTTTAATGGTGGAGGTACACACATATTGATAGATGTCTTGTAATGCACTGTTGAGGAACCTGCGACCCAAGTTTTTCATCTCCGACCTTGTCAGGTATTGAATATTCAATAAATAAAGAACACAGTATTATTAAATATAAAACACAGAATTTGTGTGATTATACTAAATGATTTACAAATAAACACCACTGCATATTTACAACAGTTACACATGCTGATGTAACGAACAAATGTCCAACTTGGGATCAATAAAGTATATCTTATCTTAAGATGATTGATGGCTACTGCCATATTTGCAAAATGTGCCTCTGAACCTTGACAAGTGCATGTTTCAGGCTTATCAATGAACAGGAGGGGTCACAGACATAAGACCAGCTGTTAAATAAAGCTCTTCTGACCTTAGCTGTCATGTGGGTATATTAATGCTGCCCATTATGGACACAAGCAATTTTCACCCATTCATTAATTATATGTTTTAAATGTGAGTGTTTCCTATCCCCTAAACCTCCAGGGATGTACACAGTTTAATACTGGCAACTTCTTATTATGGGAAATACAAAAACGTCTTTTAAAACTACAATTCCCAGCCGAGACGTGCCATAGAACATGTTGCGAAACACACAATAGCCAGCATGTGTAGTTCTGGGGACGGGTTGGGGGAGGGGGGGACGGGTTGGGGGAGGGGGGGACGGGGTGCGTTCAAATCCAGTTTTGGACAGTCTGCCGTGGTTCCATCCCATTTCAAAGTGATGTTCGACGCTCGGTGTAACCCTCGGCGCACACTCAAACATCCAATCACAGAGCTTGAGGACTATCACGGGGTTTGTCAAGCGAAGCGGAGAGAATACTTACTTCCGGGTGTAAAATTCTCTAAAGCAACTACTATGAGCTGCTCCGACCCTCGGTCCTGACGGACTCCAACTTGTGTTTATTAATCAAACAAATAAATAAACACAAGAATAATTGTGTCTTATTGTTGAGTAAATAACAGTGTGTGGTTTAGAAAATAATACAAAATTAGAAGGAAAAAACGATGAAACAATACAGATTTCAGTTTTCTGAGCCCCTACTCTCCCCCTAACTGACGGCAACAAAAGCCCGACATTATTCAATTAAAATAAAGAAGTAAACACAATAAGTGTGGCTTGATATTGAGTTAGAAAAAGGTTGATAAACGCTGTGAGAATGGATCTGCGGAGAGCATTTCTCCGCGATCCCAACTCGTCTATTACCAACGTTCAGGGAGCTCTATGCAAGTCAATGGGACTCCCTGTTAGTTGAAACTCGACGCTAAAGGGCCCCCCCCTTGCGCTGGAAAGTGACGACAGGGACCCTGACATAACGTCAACATAGGCCGAGTTGGGAGTGAGAACGTCTTGGTCCGTCAGGAAACACACTGATAAACTGCATAACAAGAGACATTTAACATCGTCATACAGATGTTAACAACGTCATGGTTACCATCATATGCCCGTGTTGAATCTAGAAAACGGTAAACGTGTGCATTTGATTGTAAATTCTTGTATATTTTCAGACTCTTTTCAAAAACTAAGCTGCTTATAAACATCTGATTCAAAAACAAAAAGAAGTTTGCAAAAATGAAACGCCATTAAAGATTTTTTGAGTTTTATTTGAGTTATTATTTTTTGTCCAAGAGATGGTGATTTGGAACCATTGTTACAGTACGAAAAGTTACCGCATTTCCTGTTTCTGCTGGAGAGAGGGGAGTTCATCCCAAAGCTGGTGTATTTCCCAAATACAATACAACAAATACCATATTGAAAGTGGAGTGCTGTGCAGATTTAAAGAGGTGGAAAGGCTTTTGAAACAAAGATCTTCCTGCTGCATTATTCACAGCAACAAGTGAAGTCTGCTCTGCTCTGCAGTGGTTACAGGTCAGGGGAAGCATGTAGCTGCTGCTTAGTTTACTCTCCCCGACCCCAGCAGTGACTAAGCATATTTCTAGTCCGAACATTTTTTGCAGGCCATTCAAGCACAGTCACGCAGCCCAGAGTAGCGTCACCATTCATGTTCAATCTTTTAGTGTTAGCTGAATATTTCATGCACACAGACCCCCTCTGACGCTGTGTTTCAGTCAGTTATAAACTCCTCCATAGTGATACAATACCTTTTCATTTGGTGAAGAATATTTCATCTTTTATTGAACTTTTATAACAAGATTTAGAAAACAAATCATTCTTACGTGAGTCTTTTTTATTAAATGGACCAGTTACCCTCTAAAAAATAATAATATATGAACTGTTTCCAAATTTGCCTAGCCAATCAGAGGCAGTTTAATAATTCTGAATGGTTTTTAAACTCCGATTCCACTTCCTGTTTAACTCTAACCCTGTCTTTGCCCCCCCTCTCATTGCAGCCGATCGTAAGAGCTTCTGCACCATCCACAGCACGGGCTACCTGAAGAGCTGGCCCCCCACCAAGATGGGTCTGGACGAGGACAACGAGCCCGACAACGAGGGCTGCAACCTGAGCTGCCTGGTGGCTATCGGCCGGCTGCACCCCCACATCGTCCCCCAGCCCAGCCTGGCCGACATCCGTGTGAAGCCCACCGAGTACGTGTCCCGACACGCCATCGACGGGAAGTTCGTCTTCGTCGACCAGAGGTGAGAACTGTCAACCAGTGTGTGTGTTTACTTGATTTTATTCTTATTTACATATTTATATTTAACATCTATGTGTATATTACATTTTCTAGGTTTCACCTGAATCTACATGCTCGTACGTTGATTGTTCTGGCAGTAAGAGATTACTGCTGACCTTATGGAAGAATCTTAAATGCCTTTTTAGTGCGTTATTTTATTTTAAATAATTGTATTGATATGAAACATCACAAATAGTTTATTATACCAATGCTCACACCAACACATTTCAGTCCCACCTAAAGCTTTATGAAGTTTAGATGGGTATATTTTCAAATCTGAAAAACAAAGGGCTCCTTACACAGTTATGTGAGAGGAGGGAAGGTTGTCCTCATGAAAAGAGGACACTGTAATCCAGCTTCATTTCTTAAGACATGCATAACCCTCTGTGACCCAAGCTGTTCTCTCTGTGTCCCACAGAGCCACAGCCATCCTGGCCTACCTCCCCCAGGAACTGCTGGGAACCTCCTTCTACGAGTACTTCCACCAGGACGACATCGGGCACCTGGCAGAGTGTCACAGGCAGGGTGTGTGGCAGAGACAAATACCTCCAGATGTTAATGAACCTGAACGCAGCAGAGCTCTTCAATATGTTTGATGTGTCTACAGTGCTGCAGATGAGAGAGAAGATCAACACCAACTGTTACAAGTTCAAGATCAAAGACGGCTCCTTCATCACGCTGAGGAGCCGCTGGTTCAGCTTCATGAACCCCTGGACCAAGGAGGTGGAGTACATCGTGTCCACCAACACCGTTGTGTCGTAAGTCCACAAACACCCCCACCTCTGAAACTGATGGAGCGTGTCCTACTGTGAAGTATTAAACGTGTCTCCTTGTGCAGGTGTCCTATGATGGAGGGACCCGACTACCCTCAGTCTGCGGCCTCCCCACAGAGCATGGACAGTGCTCTCACCTCAGAGGGTACACACACTGCTGCAAACAATGCACACCATCACAACAACAACCACAATCTATGCCAGTGGTGCAAAGTGTGAAAATGACAGAGAAGACATTCTTTTCACAACTTCTATGTATTCTGTATGTACACGTTATACATTAACAAGGCAACGGGATAACTTATCCTTCCTAATATTTCCCCATTAGTTTGTATGGTGGTGTCAGAATTACTACACAGATGTGGAAATGAATGTAAAATCATTTCTATATCTTGACAAGTAGTTTTATTCATAAGAAATACTAAAATATTATATTCAGCTCCAGACACCGGTTATTAAATGTTTTGTGTCTTTGTAGACACACTGTGATCTGTTTGAATGCACATGTGTAAATGATAAACTGAGACATCATGTTGTTGGAATTGCACTTATATTTCTTAAGAGATTTCAGGTTGTTTTGCAGGAAGATAGTTCATTAAATGTGAACATTTTTAGAATGTACTTTTTTGCTCTAAATCAACAGTTATTGGTTATTATAGGTTATTATGCTATGATTCTACTGGGCCGGCCTACTTCATCAAATTGGGCTGTATGTGGCCTCTGAACTCAAATGAGTTTGACACCCCTGATCTATGCTGTGAATCCTTTCAATTGTCCTTCTCCTGTTGGCTGGCAGGTGGAGGGAGGCGGGCCCTGCAGACCGTCCCTGGCATCCCTGGGGGGACGAGAGCAGGAGCCGGGAAAATAGGACGCATGATCGCAGAGGAGGTGATGGAGATCCAGAGGTAAGAAAGACAGAATCAGAAGCAGAGAGGTGAGGAGGGGGTCCGTCCTCCACCGGAGAACCCCCGTCTGTATTTAGTGTAGATTATGGTGGAGGCGACACACAGACGTTATGGCATGACTCATCACAATTTATGGGGACATTCTTGGCAAATAAAGTGCAAGTTGAAAGTGCACCTCTTTAGAAAACATGTTATGTATGTGATAATCTAACAGACGGGGTGTGAAATAGAAACTCCCACTGAGTATTGAATCCTAAATAATGCCGACTCAGACAGCTGCTGTGGTGCTAGAATTATGCTGAAACAGTCTGCACTGACAATATCTACCTATCGTCATGGCAACGCTTACACCTCACACAGAGTTGTTAAATGTAGGCTGCACGCCCTAGGGTCTGGATGTTTCTACCTGTGAGGAGAAGTGACTCACAGCTGGTGGGTAGGCCTGTCGCGATAATCAATAAATTGACTTATCGTACGATAAATAAAAATGGACTCGATAACTTTCCTGAGCTCGATAAATTGTCGTTACATGCGTGTTTGTTTACATAAGGATGTGACCAGCATTTTAGCCCGGCGCCCTGTGTCTACCAGCCCGGCGTGCTGTGAGGGGCGGGGCTCACACACACAGCCCATGACACAGCCAGGTCAGGACACTCCGCGTGCAGCAGTGTAGCAGCCAAATGAATAATATAGACAAGCAGGAGACAACGTGTGACTTACTCGAGGGGAATTTGAAGTTGAATGGAATAGGTTGCAAAACCTAATTCCACATCTCCGGTGTGGGAATATTTTGGATTCAAGCCAAATCAACGAGGCGAACCTACGGACTTGAATGAGCCGGTATGTTGCATTTGTTTTAAAAAGGTAGCAACAAAAGCTAGCAATACGACCAACCTTAAACTGCACCTGAAACACAAAACCCCATTCCGTTTTCCCAGCTGGTAGCAAACACGGCAGCTGGAGATGGAGAGCCCCCACCTTCCCAACAGTTTACAATCAAAGATGCATTTGCCCGACAATGCAAACATGTTGGTGTTCCTTGCTCGAAATCTTTGAAATACAGATTTGGATATGGCCTGTTGAGGCATCTGGGTCTTTGTATGGACAGTGGACTGTACACTTGACTGTTCTTTTAAGGGGGTCTTTTTTTGCTTGTGAGACAATGTGTGCTCATTTTTATTTATTTATATATATATATAGATAGATAGAGAGAGCTCTGTTTTCCAGCCTGAGTCTATTTAATTTATTGTTTTGGTTGTGTGTGATTTTAATTAATTAATTTGTTATAATTAAATGTATTTGTTTTATTTATTATATATAATTTATATATTTGAATATTATTTCACATTTCATTTGCAATGATGAATGTTCAATAAAAAGTTCTGTTTGATAGGATGTACTTGAATTATTATTATATATTATCATTATGTCAGTTGTCTAAAATGGTCTTACAACGGTGCCGACAATATTATCGTTTATCGCAATCATTTCCGGGAAAATGTATCCAACAAAATTAATTATCGTGACAGGCCTACTGGTGTGTGCATGATGAGGGAATGACCATGTGTGTCTCTGTCAGGATCCGAGGCTCCTCCCCCTCCAGCTGTGGCTCCAGCCCTCTGAACATCACCAGCACCCCCCCGCCGGACACCTGCTCCCCAGGGGGCAAGAAGGCAAGACACACACACACACAGACACACACACACACACACACACACACACACACACACACACACACACACACACTCTCCATAGTTGTTGTTCTTTTAAATCTGACTGAATCATATTGTGAATCTGAATCATTCCTAATAGAGTGGTTCAGGAATTAAACCTGGGAATGAGTTAGCATTCTAGCAATTCCTGTTCCCTCATCTCAATATTTACCTATTTTTGGTTCAATGCCCGAAATAAGGTCTTTGGTTGTGCTGAAGAGATTTTAAAATGTTGTACTACCACATAAAACACGTCAGTAAATGCCCCACTGGTGGATTTAAAAAACGGAGGGTGTGTGTGTGTGTGTGTGTGTGTGTGTGTGTGTGTGTGTGTGTGTGTGTGTGTGTGTGTGTGTGTGTTGTGTGTGTGTGTGTGTGTGTGTGTGTGTGTGTGTGTGTGCTGTGTGTGTGTGTGTGTGTGTGTGTGTGTGTGTGTGTGTGTGTGTGTGTGTGTGTGTGTGTGTGTGTGTGTGTGTGTGTGTGTGTGTGTGTGTGTGTGTGTGTGTGTGTGTGTGTGTGTGTGTGTGTGTGGTGTGTGTGTGTGTGTGTGTGTGTGTGTGTGTGTGTGTGTGTGTGTGTGTGTGTGTGTGTGTGTGTGTGTGTGTGCTGTGTGTGTGTGTGTGTGTGTGTGGGTGTGTGTGTGTGTGTGTAGAACGGAGAGACACCTGACCTGCCGAGCACTGGGATCCTTCCTGGACCTGACTCAGTGGGCTACCCCTACTCCAACCAATCCATCATGAGTGAGTTCACACCACACACACACACACACTCCTCTCTGTGATGTTTTTGTGGATTCTCATTGACTCCTCCCCTCTGTCCAGGTGACAACTCCCACCTGAGTATAGACATCATGGACGAGCCGGGCTCCAGCAGCCCCAGCAACGACGAGGCGGCCATGGCGGTCATCATGTCCCTGCTGGAGGCCGACGCCGGGCTGGGGGGGCCCGTGGACTTCAGCGACCTGCCCTGGCCTTTGTGAGGAAGCTGGGGGAGGGGGGGAGGCAGGGACTCCGTCAGCAGAGCCGTGGAGAGAGTTCAGGCAGGGTGAAGTCTGGCTGTCCCCCCCCCCCCCCCCCCCCCCCCGACCACACAGCAGAGACATCATCTAACACATGTATGGTCTAGTAGAGAGGCTGCAGAACTGCAGGAGGGTCTTTCAGTCTGAACGCTTCACACCTACACTTCGTTCATCATTCCTTGTAGCTGGAGGACTGACCCTCAATTTCATACAGAGATCCTCCGATGTGTTAGGATGATCCTTTCTGCAGTGTTGGCGTCTGCACACTGTATCAGCCTGGGGGGGGGGGTGTCTCCAGGACACAGTGCTCACGGTGGTTGATTGAACTCTGGCTCTGGCCCCCTCCCTGTCGGCCCCCTCCACACCAACACAGGACTCTGAGGCGTTGACTAACACTGGTTGAAGTTTGTTGTGGGGGGGATCGCCTCTCTAACTGTACGCTTGAGGCTCCTCACAAGAAGTTGATGCTGTACACACACGGCTAAGGTGCCCCCCCCCCCCAAACATGCCTGTTGTACCGGCTGATGGAAACAAACACGCAACAGTTCCCCTCTGGAGGCTCCCCTGGGAGAGAGGACTTTATTCCCAAACCACAAACCACGATCTGCTTCAGTTCGCCTCCTGCTTTTTCCTAAACCAACATGAACGTTTGTCATTTTTCTAAAAGCCACTCTACAGCTCATCCTCACTAAATCATCGATCAAGAGTGTATTCTGAATTCAAGTATCAAATACATTTTGAGTACACATTTGAATGCTGTCCAAAAATAATACTCCTTAAGCTCAGTACAGGTTTTCACAAGTCCCAAATGATGGAGTCCATCAATATTAAACCAGTGGGACACCTAACATGAGGTACAGAAATGTATTTTGTATTAGCATCCTGAGCAGCTGAGCCTGCCCCTCACACAGGTGGTCTCCCTCCTCCATCACAGCAGAACCACATGCAGCACCCAATGATGCAGTCACACTGACTGGGTCAGCGTTCTGATGGAAGTATTTCTTTGCCTTAGTGATCTGAATATTTAAATTGAAATGTATATCTCTGTACCTTGGCTAGCGTTTAGCTCTGAGAAATGAACAGCGCCGACCTAACTTGTTTTGCCAAGTTTGGGAAAGATTAAATACCTCCAAGTTAATTTCTTTGCAGATATTTACAGTATGTGGACAACACATATCTGTTTAGCACTAACATACACAGTAGTACTACAACTACATACAAACTACCTAGCGGAGAGGATGGTGTGTGTGTGTGTGTGTGTGTGTGTGTGTGTGTGTGTGTGTGTGTGTGTGTGTGTGTGTGTGTGTGTGTGTGTGTGTGTGTGTGTGTGTGTGTGTGTGTGTGTTGTGTGTGTGTGTGTGTGTGTGTGTGTGTGTTGTGTGTGTGTGTGTGTGTGTGTGTGTGTGTGGTGTGTGTGTGTGTGTGTGTGTGTGTGTGTGTGTGTGTGTGTGTGTGTGTGTGTGTGTGTGTGTGTGTGTGTGTGGGCCCCGCCCCCTCCGGTCCTCCTCCAATCAGGCAGCAGCTGGCAAGTCTCCATCTGTTCTGTAGTTTTCTGTTTTTCTGTTTCAATGTTTTTACAACACACTACAATACAGTGCTCCCTCTGTTGATACGCCCCCCCCCCCCCATCTGACAATAATGTATCAAATCTTTCAATATTATCATGTTAAGAGTATACTTTATGCAAATATATATGAGTATAATGAGTGTATTGTATGTATCAGCAGTGAAATATTTTTAAAATAAAATTATTGGTTTCTGTCATTTTTGCCATGATGGTCTCTGTCCATACTGTGCAATGTTCCTTTCCTGTCTATTCATCAAATACATATCATGCTGCACAATTTGAAAACATTTACCTATTGACTGATATCACAATTGTAATAAGATGTATTTTTTTTTTATTGGATCTGTACCAAACATATATATATATATGTGTGTGTGTGTATATATATATATATATATATATATATATACATTTTTGTTCAGTCTGTAGAATAGGATTTGTATGATATGATGTATGATTAGCTCAACAATACGTCACTTATCATTCAAAATATTTGGTTTCCTGCAATCTAAATTCATTTATGGGATATTTTATAAAATGTAAATTGTGCAGCCTTTCATGATACAGTCTGTTGGGTGCTCAGTCATCGCTTACACCTGATGTTCTCTCAGCCAATCAGAGCGGCCCGTGGTATTTTTACATGAGGTTGCCACCCAGCGCCTGGCAGTCTGCACGCAGAGGAAGAGGCGCTGCTTCACAGCCTCCTTATTAAAGAGGTCAGGTCTAAAGAAAACAGAGTGAAGAGAACTCCAGAAGCCCTGCTGCTTATCTGTCGTCTCATCATGTGACCTAAAACATTATTTAAAGCATGACCTTACTCTGCATGAAATGATGATTTTAACCTGTTAAGCCCTGAGCCTGTTTTTCAGGTCTTAGGCTCAAAAATGACATTCCCGGAACAAATGACCATATCTTCCCTTCTAAAAGGGTTAAATTAATAATATTTGTTCTCAAAGCAAGGTTACATCTGTGAGTTGGATGTAGAAGTGTCAGAACCAATATAGATGTTTCTGTGTCAGAGTAAATTCAGATGGAACATTGTAAAAAAAGGTAAATTCTTACCTCCGCCCAAAAAAAAAACATTACTTATAGTGAAAACCAGCCTTGAATGATGGGATAGTAGACTAAAAGCTTTAGGAATCCAAACTACAACATATAATAAGTACCCTGTATCAAGATTGATGCAAAACAAGTGACATTTGCCCTCTTTAGAGAGATTTATAAAAATAAAAATAATATGAAATCTCAGTTTTTTTACATAAAAATGCAATGATGGATTATCAGTAATCATTTCAAAGTGACACAGACACATTGGATTAACCTATGGATTAACCTTCAGCGGCGTTTTTATCATTTTAATGCCATTGAACACGACTATTGATCAGAATAACAGCTAATTTGAGACGATCTCCCGTGAATGTTCCGTAATGCTACGTGTTGTGACGTCTGTGTTTGCTTCCCCTGTCACGAGTTCTGATCGCTCAGTGATGATACTTATACCTATCTGTGGAATCTCAGCTTTACTCTGATATCTTGTTTTTGCAGTTACGATAAGTAATAAGGGTATTTTTACCTTGAGTTTTGTGCTAAGTGTGTTAGCATTTTTTCGCTCATTTAGACGCTTCTTGTGAGACTTGTGTTTTGTTTCGGTAAAAATGGTTCGTATTGTCAGTTAGCTGAGTTTCTTCCCGTTAAATGGGTATGACAGTCTGCGGCCTCCCCACAGCCCCCTATATTTAATAGGTTTTTAAATGTTAAGAAGCCCTGAGACACAGTTTCGTGAAAAAACACCCCACTGCTAGGGCTTAACAGGTTCTGGATGCATTTCCATATTTAATCTCCATCCTAGAGTCAGGTCATCTCCAGATGTTGGACATTTTTGCATCTGTTGCCAAACCTTCAGAAAACCTCTGGTGTTAGTTTAAAAGTGAAAACTCAAAATGTGGCCTGATTTGGTTCTGCAGTGTGACCTGCTTCAAAAACACTGCTGAGTTCTTTGTCCTTTTAACATTCTTATGTAAATGCACAAATATATTGGCGAAAATTAATGAATTGTTCTGTGGTTACTTGTGTGTATATTCCTACATCTTAATACAGTATTATTATACAAAGGAGCTCTGTGTCCCAGGACACTTTGTTGATGGCACAGCTGTTAGATATTTATCAAGAATATTCATCATGTGATTCCACTGTGATCACATCACCAGACACCTACCATCGTATCAAGACCAATATCAAAGTGATGCCTGATACATGAGAGGACACATATTTGAAATCATATATCATAGCTCACAGTATAATGCAAGACTTTTAGAATATCACACGTAACCAAATTGAAAAACTATTTTCATCTAACAATTCTTTTGAGATTTTACAATGCAACACCAGCATAATAAATATTGATTTTAAGGACTTTAAAGGTTGGTTTCAGAATTGTAATACAGTCTATGAGGACCTTGTTTTTCGATGTCAAGATTTAAATCCTATTAAGACTTGTTAGGGATACCTTAAAACCTTATTTTCTTCCTGCCTCAAGCTGAAGAACACACAACAATAAAACACAGCTTGAGGGGAACCTGGTAGTGTTGCCAACACAGATCATATTGTGTTAGAACCTGTAAGAGGTTCATATTCTGCTGAACATTACAGTGAAGCCAGCACCACATTATTCTATCAAACTAACATGTATAGTAACAAATCTATATGCAATGATTTTGAAGGTAGATCGATAGAGCAGCTGTGGCTCAGGAGGACAAATATCACTGGTTCAATCCCCCAGGTCCGTCCATTGAACCAAATACTTAAAAAAGTTGTTGCAAGTCCATTTACCTTTTACATGGTACCTTTTCACTGAAAGAGTCCTCTCCTGCTGATGTTCAGGTGTATATCAGTATGTAGTGTCTCTACTTTAAAGAGTCCTCTCCTGCTGATGTTCAGGTGTATATCAGTATGTAGTGTCTCTACTTTAAAGAGTCCTCTCCTGCTGATGTTCAGGTGTTATATCAGTATGTAGTTGTCTCTACTTTAAAGAGACCTCTCCTGCTGATGTTCAGGTGTATACAGTATGTAGTGTCTCTACTTTAAAGAGTCCTCTCTGCTGAAGTTCAGGTGTATATCAGTATGTAGTGTCTCTACTTTAAAGAGTCCTCTCCTGCTGATGTTCAGGTGTATATCAGTATGTAGTGTCTATACTTAAAGAGTCCTCTCCTGCTGATGTTCAGGTGTATATCAGTAGTAGTGTCTCTACTTTAAAGAGTCCTCTCCTGCTGATTTCAGGTGTATATCAGTATGTAGTGTCTCTACTTTAAAGAGTCCTCTCCTGCTGATGTTCAGGTGTATATCAGTATGTAGGTCTCTACTTTAAAGAGTCCTCTCCTGCTGATGTTCAGGTGATATCAGTGTGTAGTGTCTCTACTTTAAGAGTCCTCTCCTGCTGATGTTTCAGGTGTATATCAGTATGTAGTGTCTCTACTTTAAAGAGTCCTCGTCCTG